ATATTTTTTAGATTGTACTCTTTATGCTAAACTCAAATCCGAAAACTGTTAGAAAATTCATTGAGAAATAAAAAAGTTACAGGCAAAGGTCTGTTTTAAATGTTGGCCCCTAGAAATCCCTTATTTTCCAAAATTTTGATTTCATAATCTTATGAAGTCGGAACAGTATCAGAGTCATTCTGTATACAAAATATTACAAGAAAATCATAATCACTTTTAGAGATACTGTTACATAACTGATTTCATTTTAACATAAAAATTAACAGACCCATAAAACCGGAAGTTCAGGTTTGATTGATATGAAACTTACAGGATATGACCTACTAATTAGTATAAACATATTTACATCCTCAAAATAATTTTTATAACGTTATTTTGACTTTCAAAAATTTCCTCCCCCCTTCTTCAATGTTTGAAGTCTTATATCTCGAAAAGTATTTGTGGTCAAAAATCACATACGCGCACTTTTTCATAAGATAAGGTGTCTAGAATTCAAATCTTAAATTTGGGAGTCTAGACACTGAAATTAAAAATGTTTTTGGCTTCTTTAGAAATTTCAGTTTTCCCTTTGTAGAAACCGGAAGTGACAAGACCGGAAGTACAAAACATTACAGACAGGACATTTTTATATCAGCTATCTAATAGTTATAAAATAAAATACCTACTTTTAAAGGTACTCCGGAAAATCTGAGCAAAAGAATTGCTAAGTATAATAATAATAATAATAATAACTAGATGAGATCTCGTTGCGAGCAACGAGTAGGTCTTCCGTTGAATTTCTAGATAAGATGAGATGTGATTTTGACTGAGATATTTGTTTAAAGAGAATGACATTGAGTTTTCCCTAGTTAAAGTTAAAGTTTCTCATTTTTATCACGATATTCTGAACATCTTTTGTTTGATAAGGCTTATGAAAATAATCCCCCTTTTCGAGACATAAAGCATAAAAATTATAGTATTTTGGTCCCTTGAGACCCCTAATTACGTAACATATGATAAAAATATATTATTATATATTGTTGCAAATCGTTAAGATGAATACTTTGGCCTCAGTAATGTATAACAAAATATTGATCATTAGAGAGTTATAGATCAAAGACTTTTGGTCCCTCTGAGCCCCTAATTTGAGGGGTCAGCCCCTTTTTCTTGATATTAAATGAAAGGTCTTGTGATTTTGAAGATTTTTTGTTCAACAATTATTCAGAGATTTCTGTTCGTTGTGGAGATATGTTAAGTGGAAATATTTAGGGCCACTCCTACAAGTCCTTAATGGGGCCGTTTTACAAAAATTCAAAGTATGCATATTGTTTAGAACATTATTCTGACCATCTTTTGTTCAATATTGCTTATCAAAATTTTCCCCCTTTTTGAGATAAAAAGCGTCCAAGATGTGACATTCTGGCCCCTTGTGACCCCTAATTACGTAATATATTATCAAAATATCATAATATGTTGTTGCAAATCGTTAAGATAAACACTTTTGCTTCAGTAATGTATAACAAAATATTGATCGTTAGTGAGTTATAGATAAAAGACTTTTGGCCCCTCTGAGCCCCTAATTTGAGGGGTCAGCCCCATTTTCTTGATATCAAATGAAAGGTCTTGTGATTTTGAAGATTTTTTGTTCAACACTTATTCAGATATTTCTATTCGTTGTGGAGATATGCTCAATGAAAATATTTAGGGGCCACTCCTACAAGCCCTTAATGGGGCCGTTTTACAAAAATTCAAAGTATGCATATTGTTTAGAACATTATTCTGACCATCTTTTGTTCAATATTGCTTATCAAAATATTCCCCCTTTTTGAGATAAAAAGCGTCCAAGTTGTGAAATTCTGGCCCCTTGTGACCCCTAATTACGTAATATATTATTAAAATATCATCATATATTGTTGCAAATCGTTAAGATAAACACTTTTGCTTCAGTAAAGTATAACAAAATATTGATCGTTAGAGAGTTATAGAAAAAAGACTTTCGGCCCCTCTGAGCCCCTAATTTGAGGGGTCAGCCCCATTTTCTTGATATCAAATGAAAGGTCTTGTGATTTTGAACATTTTTTGTTCAACACTTATTCAGTGATTTCTATTCGTTGTGGAGATATGCTAAATCGAAATATTTAGGGGCCACCCCTACAAGTCCTTAATGGGGGTGTTTTACAAAAAATTCAAAGTATGGATATTGTTTAGAACATTATTCTGACCATATTTTGTTCAATATTGCTTATCAAAATTTTCCCCTTTTTTGAGTTATAAAGCGTCAAAGATTTGATATTCTGGCCCCTTGTGGCCCCTAATTACGTAACATATGACCAAAATTTTATCATATATTGTTGCAAACTGTTAAGATGATTACTTTTGCTTCAGTAATATATAACAAAATATCGATCATTAGAGAGTTATGGATAAAAGACTTTTTGCCCCTCTGAGCCCCTAATTTGAGAGGGTCAGCCCCATTTTATTGATTTGGAATGAAAGGTCTTGTGATTTTAAAGATTTTTTCTTCAATATGCTTTAACAAATTATGAACAGGGATGAAGATATGAAACAAAATTTGTCAAATTTTGTGAGATATTTCTGAGACATTTTTCAGGCCCTACCGCGCTCCGGCGCCTTTTGCGCTAGAAAGATTTGGAGACCCAATTACAACTCGACAAACCTTCCTTTATTTTCACTGAAAATCTTAAGTCGATATCTTAAGTCGTTTCGGAGGAGTTTCCTGGACAAGCCGACCCTTTGAAAATCAGAAAATCCTAAATATCTCGAGATAAGAAGTGACGTCATCTATCAAAAAAATTTCCAATAAGGTTCAGATCAATACCTACCAGATCTGAAAGTTTCATGAAATTTGGACGAGTCGTTTCTGAGAACTTGCGTGCACAAAATCGGTTGGAATAATAAAAGGGAAAAAGAAACCGAACGAAAACAATAAGGTCTTCCGTTGGAGACGGAAGACCTTAATAATAAACAAGACGAAAACAATAGGTCTTTTCGACAAAAGTCGAAAAGCCCTAACTAGACCTTATTTTTGTCGTTCAACAAAAACGGAGGGCTTTTCGACCCCTTAAAATAAAGAATCTTAAAAGAAAATCAATATTACACAGTAAAAAAAATCATATAATACAATATAGCAAAAGCTCTTTTGAGATCGATACATAATTGGAAACATAACATTTCTCTTGGTACTTTAGTATCTACTCAGAGACATAACTCTTTCGTGGTTATTAAACACATACAAAAATGTACTGTTTTTCAATCCACTAAAACTCCTATAAGGGCTTAAAAAGTGACCACACGGCCCATAATTTTTAAATTGTACTCTTTATGCTTGTTACAATTCAAAAATTAGTTTGAAGATTGGTTGAGAATTAAAAAATGTACAGGGAAAAAGCCGTTTTCTGTACTGACCCCTTAAATCCTTTTATTTAAAGGATTTTTGTTTTCAACGCCTAACCCTCTGGAGACAATGCTTGAGTCAATATTCATATGAAATTTCACGAGAAATGCTTGCCCACTTCTTGAGATAATGGAACAAACGTGTTTTAAAATTCAACATAGAAATCTCCATAGGCAATTTTAAGGGACTCATAAAACCGGAAGTACTCTTCAGATGCATGCCACAATTAAAACATAGAGTCCATATAACGTTACAAACAGATGGACAAAGAGAGATAACTCTTAAACAAATATTTTCTAAAAGACTAAAAAATGCAATATTTCAGGTCTCTACAACTCCTATAAGGGGTCAAAAAGTGACCCCACGGACCATATTTTTTAGACTGCCCTTTTAATCCTTAAGTGAAATCTGAAAACTATTTGAAATTCATTGAGAAATAAAAAAGTTACAGGCAAAAGTCCGTTTTCAATGTTGGCCCCTAGAAATCCACTATTTTCCAAAATTTTAATTTTTTAATCTGATGATGTCACAACAGTATCAGCATCATTCCATATACAAAATATTACAAGAAAATCTTAATTACTTCAAGAGATAATGTGGCACGTTTAATTTCAATTTAAAATAAAACTTTAAAGACCGATAAAACCGGAAGTTCTGTTCTGATTGATATGAAACTTACAGTATATGTTCTACTAATTAGTTTTAACATATTTTTATGCTCAAAATAATTTTTGTAACGTAATTGTGACTTTCAAAAATTTCATCCCCCCTTCTTGAATGTTTGAAGTCTTATATCTTGAAAAGTATCTGTGGTCAAAAGTTACATACGCGCATTAATTTATTGGATAAGGTCTCTAGAATTCATATCTTAAATTTGGGAGTCTAGACCCGAAAATTAAAAATGGTTTTTGGCTTCTTTAGAAATTTCAGTTTTCCTTTGGTAAAAACCGGAAGTGACTATACCGGAAGTTGTTCTTGTTTCACGCACGTGAGATTTAAATTTGCTATTTAGTAGTTATTAAATAAAACACCTAGTTTTAAAGGTACTCCCCATTCCTGAACGATAGAAGTGTTCAGTATAATAATAATAATAATAATAATAACTAGATCTTTTTGTCGTTCAACAAAAACGGAGGGCTTTTCGACCCCTTAAAATAAAGAATCTTAAAAGAAAAATCAATATTTTACAATAAAAAATCATATAATACAATATTGCAAAAGTTCTTTTGAGATCAATATTTAATTGGAAACATAAACAAAAAAGTTACAGAGAAAAAGCCGTTTTCTGTACTCACCCCTAAAATCCTTTCAATTTTAGGGATTTTTATTTTAATGACGTTACACCCTGGGGACAATGCTAGAGTCAATATTCATATGAAATATCACGAGAATGGCTTGCCTACCTTTTGAGATAATGGAACAAACCTGATTTTAAATTTAACATAGAAATCTCCATAGGCAATTTTAAGGAACTCATAAAACCGGAAGTACTCTTCATATGCGAACCAAAATTGAAAGATAGAGAGCATATTAGACTCCAAACAGATCAACAAAGAGAGATAACTCTTACATTATCATTAGTGAAAAAACTTAAAAATACAATATTCTAGTCAAAGCTCAAAGCATTGTCTTTTTCTTTACAAACTTCAGAGAGTTCCTTTTGAAGTCGATAGTTGTCATCTTCTTGCTTTAATAATCTTTCTCTCATATGCTGCATTTCCTCCGTTAATGTTTTCATGTTAAGTTCAGCTTGACTTTGCCTAACATTGAAAGGGGTAAAAATACTGCTTCTTAGATGTTTTTATTTTAATTTTTGACAATATCTCACATTTATGTTTTATCTTGAAAGTACAATACGATATACACATTACATAAATCTTATTTTACAGAATTCAAAAGTAGAATATTGGATTGTTTTCATTTTGCTCATACAGTGTGTGAAAAAAACTGTTTCAATAAAGGAGTTAAGAATTATTTCCTTTTGATTATGCTCCCTATGTCCTGTACAAAAATCAAAAATTTTCAATGAAAAGTTTATGACAATAATGTCATGTGCAAATTTTAATTTAAAAAGTCTTATTTTTGTAGAGGACACCAGTTTTTATAAAGAGAGACGCAAATTGGATATTCAATATTTTTAATAGATAAGATGGTGTTCGAGGTGTATTATTTTAATAAATGATGAATAGTTATTACGTCTGGAATTTTTTTTTTATTTTCTTCTTACAAGAATACCTGTGTAATGCATTTTCTTTCGCCTCTGATATGGCAGATATGTGTGATTTATGTTTTATATTTTCATTCTCTAGTTGCAAAATAACTTGCTTCAGCCGGCTTATTTCAGATTCTGCTATGCGTGTTTGTGAGTCCCTTTCTTTCAGACCGAGTTCGCCTTTTCTAAAAAAAAAAAACAACAACAAACAATGAGACAATTTTAAGAAATTGAGAAAACATACAATATGATTTTTAAAAAAATTTAAACCCATCATTTTCTTTTACCGCTGGTCTTGGATTTTTTCTTCATGTAATCTCTTTGCCTCTTTTTCTAACATATTCACTTCTTTCTTCAGATTGCAAACTTGCTCTTTCAAGTATTGCATTTCAGGGGAATCTTGATCAGCAAGTTTACGTTTTTCATTCTCTCTGTTATGCATAATTTAAACATTGATCTGTTAAAATTTGTTTTCTCAATGTCATATTATTCATAAACATACATGTATGTAAAACACTCTATTTTGTTAGTAGGGTAAAAAAAATTACCTTTTCGCCTGTGCATCTGTATCTGTAGATATACTGATTTTTAGCAAATTTACATTTTCTTAATTAAAATTATATACAACTTTATCAAATAAAAAAGAAATATCATACCACGCTGCCAAAAAAAAGTATGCATAAACTTTCATGAAATATATTTAGTTTACTGATTTATGGACAAGTAAGTTTCTTAGAAATATATGCAGAATACAGCCATTCATTTTGAATTCATATCATCATGACAGCAATCGCATCTTTAACAAAGCCGATCTTTAAATCAAACATGATTTGAACAAACTTTGAATGTATAGCATCTGAGGATGCTTCAATAAATAAACCAATCATACCTTTGCTGTTCTTGAGAATAAGATTTTGAAAGGTTTTTACTATATATTCCTGTTTGATCGTCCATGGTGGCCTCACTCTACCCCAGCCATGGATTGAACCAAATTGAATCTATTCCACTTGAGGATGCTTCCATATAATTTGGCCAATCATATATTTGCTGTTCTTGAGAAGAAAAATTTTAATTTTAAAAAAAAACCCTCCCCCACTCTACCCCTGAGGGAAGGGTCTAAATTTGAACAATTCAGAATCTACACTACCTGGGGATGCTTTCGCATGAGTTTCATCTTTCCTGGCACAGTTGTTCTTGAGGAGAAGATTTTTAAAAGATGCCATTAATTTTTCACTACTTCACAATTATCTCCTCTTGAAAGAAGGCATGACCCTTCATTTGAAAAAAAAAAGAACTTGAATCCCCCTCACTCAAGAATAATATTTAGCATGTTTGGTTTAAATTGCCCCGGTGGTTCTTGAGAAAAAGATGAAAATATGCTAAGTTTACGACAACGACGACGACAACAACGACAACGACTGACAATGTACAAATTTTGATCAGAAAAGCTCAATTGATCCTTCCGCTCATTTGAGCTAAAAATAACACGTCACTGGAAAGTTATCAATCAAACCTTAAAAATATAATGTATTAGAATAAAGAAATAATTACAAAGCAAGCTATATAAATAATTCACTGCTCTAAAAATTAAATATGAGAAGCTTATTGTGCAAGATCTACCTTTGCAACGCAGCTCCTTTTTTCCTTGACAAGGACGCTATGTCTGTTTCATATTTCTGATTTTCTAGCTGCAAAATTACTTGCCTCAGTCGGTTTATTTCAGATGCCGCTCTGGAATCTTCCCTCTTTAGGTCAAATTCAAATTTTCTTGATGGAAAAAAAGAAAAGAAAAAAAAAATAAATGAAGTACACATATTTCATAGGACGTGGGCCCATTTTTTCTGAAGGATATTTGCTTTTTTATTACCTCTGAATTTGGACTTTTTCTAATCTCAAATTGTCTGCTTGCTTTTTCAAGGTGTGAATTTCTTCTTTCAGATCATTAACTTCATATTTCAAGCGCAGGATTTCAGAGTCTTGATTGGTATTCTTAAAATTCTTTTCATATTCTCTATTTCTGTATTAAATTATTGAAGAAAATGGATTAATAAATGATTATTAAATAATAATAATAATGTTAATAAATATTTTATATCTGCTGAAACGACACTAAGGGTAATTTTTACTCAATATAATCGTGTGTCTGACACACAATTTTGTTTTTCAAAAATAAGAATTTTGATGTGATAAATGGTAATTAATTATTTTGTGACGTACTTTGCATATAAAGATTGAAGCTCCAGATTTATCTTTTCCACATCTTTCTTCAGAACTTTCATTTCTTCCTCCTTCAACTTAAGTTCATTTGAATGTATCACTGAAAGTTTTTCTTTTTCCTGTAAGCTATAAAATCGTTTTCCTAATTAGTAGCGTGTACTTTGTAAATTATTAACACATAAAATGTCGCTTTACTGAAAATTATATAGTTATATAAACTTGCCTTTGCCTTCTGTTCTCTTCTAATTTCTCGTTCTCGGATTTCAAAATCTTTACTTCAAAACGCAAGTTATCAATCTCTGATTCTGGAGTCCTTTTGTCATTTTCAAATTTAGCTCTAGAATAAAATAAATTATGATTTCGCCCTTGTGCAGTTTTACTTTAAAATTGCCTACCATCAAAAAAAGATGTCAAACCTACCGAAACAGATTGTAGTAATTTCTATACATGTATATAGATTTTTTTCTATTTTGTATTTTTATTCCAAACCATCAATTTATTTATCAGTAAGTAATACATGTAACATGTGTTGTTTTAGGTTTTATTATCTTTTTTATGGCTTTATTTTACAAAATTAAAATATTTTATAGATAATACAAATAAAAAACATTTTATGTAATGAATTATTTGAATTTTTTCTTTAGTCAGTATATTCAACAAAATCAGTTTTTAAAATTAGTACATGTCTATCAATATGATAAATTGTTTTTGATAAAACTTTGATTGTTGTACCTGCTTTGTTCACTATAAACAGTAAGCCAATGCATTTTTGTTTGCTCTTCTTGAAGTTTATATCTGAGTCCATCCACTTCCGACTGCAAATGAGTTACTTTGTGATTCAGTTTTGAAATATCGCCATCTTTACTGCAAGAGTCTGCTTCTGATAGCTCAAGTCTTCAATGTAAAAAAAAATCAAGTTAATTTTCAAATTTGAAACAATGATTCTTTCAATAAAATAAATCTTGTTAGGTTTTTCTGTTAAAGGAAAACAAAATAAAAATGATTTAATACGAAATAACATTTTATTAATTATATCCTTTCAACTTGCCCCAGATTTATATTGCAAAATTGAACAAATTTTCTGAGATAAATAAGTCTATTCCTAATGAAGTGATATGGAACCCTTTAACCAAAACAATCTTCCCTATTAACCGTGATTTATGTTTAGACATTAGCGTACCTTTTCTCCAAGTACTCAATTATTCCTCTTAAATCTTCAAAATTTTCGTCGTTTTTAGTTGTTGATCTCCACTGAAGATCGGCATTTTCCCTTAAACTGTTTAATATATCAGATTAAAATATATATTTTATATTTAATTAATAAATGTGAGGTTCATTAAAAATTGGAAAATTAGTAGTAATTTAACAATTAAATTGTGAAAATTTTATTGTAGTTCTAGAATACGAAAGGATTTGTCACTAGTTCTATCGCCCTCTCCGCCCATATAAATGACAAAATTAGCTTAATTTTCAATTATGTTAATGAAAATATAATGAATTGTTTTTTAACAGGTTAACCTTTCAGAATTAAAGAAAAATTAAAAAAGTCTTTTCACGGCAGTCAGTGCATCTATCCCAAATAAAAAAAATGTTCATCAAAGATGTGATTTATCAAATCGTGAAAACAAACAGTCAAAAATTAAAAGAAACTTACGCCATTTGAAGGTCTGTTTTCAAACTATCAATCTCTTCCCTTTTCTTTTGTATAATTTTACAAAGAGGACCTGGCGTTCTTTCAGTCATAGACTTTTTTATTTCTTTTTTCTCCCGGTTAGAATTGTCAAGACTTCAATCAAAAAAAAAAAAGAAAATAAAACATTTTTAGCTATTAAATCGATACAGCAATGGTTTTAAACATATTAAACCAAAAAGAAAACAACTTTACTTAATATTAATAAAGAATGTAATGATATGAAACAAACCATAGTTTTCTTGATTAAATACTAAAATAAGTTTTACATTTAAAAGTAATTTAAATCTGATATTATTCTATACCTTTTCAGTAGATTTTGGTTTATTTCCAGCAGTCTGTCGTTTTGAGACTGTAGCAGAGAGCAAAGAAAACAATCGGGAACTGCCAGGGGAGTATAATTTTCAGACTCTTTGGAATAGTCATGACTGAGTGGATTATAATTTCTGTAAAATAAAAAAAAGATCATACAACATGAATTAACGTTTTGACAAAAAAATGAAAAAAAAAGTTGTTTATTGTTGTTCTAACGTTTGAACATTTCTCACATTATTCTTCAGGCTTAGCTTATTGCAATAGTTTCACTGTTTCTATTATAAACTCTCAAATAGCATCTACCTAATTTGTATAGAAAAAGTAATGTATTTTGAAGGACATGTTTTTACCAACAATTTATCAATTGTAGCAAATGATAACTATCGATGTCACTCTATAAGATTGCTTGTCCTTACTCATTTGAGGTAGAGGCTATACATCTTTCCTCTCGTTCCCAGATTGGAGAGTGCCTCATCCTTTCGTTTTTTCTCTGTTTTTAACAAAATACACTGCACTGCAATTTCATTGTGGGACTGTAAAAAAATCATGTATTCAATGATGCAAGAGGCCTACAGCAACATTTATCAAGAAATTTAACTTTGGGGCCAAGACACATTTAGCTTGGAATTCTTGATTTCGAAACCGTTGCAGATCATGCAAAGAAAATATATCTATCGAAGGCTGCACTTAATCAGTAACGTTATTAAGGTCAACAGAGGAAGAAAACTACAAATAAGTTTGGTTTGTGGATTGCTATAATATTTAAGGTTTTCCATTCCTGGATTGCCTTTAATTGGAACTGGCCATATTTCATTGCCAGGCCGAAAATACCAGTATTCCTTGCAAAACAGAACTTAATGAATGGATAAAGATTAAGATGAAATTTACCATATAAAATATACAAAATCAATGAGATTTGTTATCATAAAATGTAACTGTAAAGACATGCATCGATTTTTTGCAACTTAAGCAATTATAAGTTTAAATTAAATACTATTTATTAATCACATATCCACCTTGCCCTCTTCTAAAAAGCATATTTACTTACCTTTGTGTCTTTTGTAATTATCCTGCCATTGTAAGGGTGTACTTCTCTTGTTTGGTATAATATACGTTTCAAATTATCATATTCAATAATCAGTTTTGGATTGACCTTAAAATCGATCGACTACGAAAGCCTGAGAGGATCAAATCGTGTTGCAAAATTTTATTCACTAATACCTAATAATGGACTTTTAAATTCTATATTTTTATTTTAGTGTTGTAAATAATTTTTGCGTATTTTATGTTTATTTTTTTATCTTATTAGTATATTATCTCATACTTTATTCAAATTTAAGATTTTGGGGGATCCACTGCCCGGGTTGACTATATAATTAAAGTTTGAATTAGAGCTTTAATTATATAGTCAACTCGGACAGTGGGTTTTAAATGACATGTATTGCGTTCGGTAGTGGATGACCTATAATTACTAATATCTTTAAAGGACATTTCTTATGTCTCTCTCAAATCACGACCAGAGATCTATGTTCAAAATTATTACAGACAGATATATGTTCAATTTATTAAAGGGAATTGTTTTAAGTTGTAGTATACTTGAAGAACAAAGTAAGACAACGTGTTCATATTTTTTGACTGACATAAAGAAAGCAATTAATATGTGTTTTGATACCAGATACAGTTTGTTCAAATTAAAGGATAAGCTCTCAAATACTGAGTTAATTCCAAAGAGAATGTTATTTAAATTATCCCACGTTTCCAGCGGACTCTTACATCCTTGACATGCCCCACAAACTAGGCAATAATTCCTTTTAATTGTATTTACAATAACATATGAAATAAAAATTAAAACGAAGTAACGAAACAAGTACGTAGTCCAAGCTCAACAATTTGATATCAGATACATTTGCATCCATTGGAAACTGACATGCACTCGAACTTTCAGTTGGCGAAATTTGCATTTAGTTGTCAATTATTTAAGAAATTAACAAATTAAATTTCGATAGATTTTTCCATAAATTTCCAGGAATCTACGAAATCGATTAATCCTATATTTAATTGGGTTCTCTCTCTCTCTCTCTCTCATTTATAATTCCAGTATTAAATAAATATATGTTTGTGCTTGTACACATTACCAACGAAAAAGGAAAATTGTCATCCCAAACTGCTTTTTTTATCATTTCAGTATTACACCGCAAGGAGTTATTTAAAACTTAATCATAAATCGCATATTTTAGACAAACATCAAATCAAATTTGCAAAACACTCTCAATTCTACTAGAAATGTTTACCAAAAAATGTATACCTTGAATAATAAAATTAATGACTACCAGTAGCCTTTACCTGTCGTTGAACTAAATCACACCAAAACTTCAGTTTTTGACGAAAGAAATCCATCCTTAAATCTATGTTTATAACCTTGGTAATCATTGTTACACATAATTCAATATTAAAATCAAATAAACATTGTTAAAAATCTTAGTATCATTTTATTGTGTACAAGTTCCCAATAATTATGGATTAGTTCTACATGTAGCACTGTAACGATAGCATTTTCACAAAAAATTCCAAGTTAAGTAATCTTGACATTACCGTTTGTAGAATAAAAGATCAATAAATATCAAATTATTTATCTCAATATACACTGCTTATGTTATGATTTAATGAGTGAATGGCTAATTCTACTATTAGAGGAGAAGAGTTCAGATAGAATTAGAAATAAAATTCTATTTGGTACAAACAGTGATAACAATTTTCCTAGAAATCTAAAGCATATAAATAGAATTATTACCTTAGTCTAGTTTTCTCTCGTTACTAATTTTAATAATTTCTAGCAATCATAGCCACCCTGATTGTTCAAAATACTGATACAGAGCTATAAGCATCTTAGTTTAGTAATTAATTATCATGTGTTCTTGAAATTTCGGCAGGCCTGTTTTCAAAGAAATTTCGAGATCTGTTTTAAACCATGGCAAAATTTTTACCAAAAGCAAAACTTTTACCAAAATCAAAATTGATACTTGAAATAATGTATCTTCCTGTGCATCAAATTTTGTTGAAATCGAATTCGAATTGGGAAGATGCATTGTGATAGCTGTCTGCTAGTATTTATTATTTATTCTACTTGCAAATCAAATTTCATTAAAATCAAGTTAAAAGCATAAAAGAAGTATCATTTGATTGGAATTATTTTTTTACTAGCAGTCAACTGTCGGACGGACAACGTACGCTTATGAATGCATAAGCTTTTCGGGCCTCTGATCAGCAGAGCTAATTAAAATCGAATTAAAATCTTTTAAGTTTATAGATCAATATCTTAGTATGTTTGACGTGGTAAAATAGTTAAGGAGCATGCTTTGGTTGTGCCACTCCTTTCGACAACACAGGTCCTTTCTCATGCAAGTACAACGCTGGCCAGACAATGAAATCCAGATATCCTCCTGTTTTGGTATACCTCCTCAAGATGTCTGTGTTAAATTCCGTCCCCTGTCTGAAATCGAAACGGACAAACACGGGCGGATCACGGATTCTCATTCTCCAACACAGACTTGCACATTGGCTAGCATATAGTTTTGTCTTAGGGGATACAGAAACGTCCACCTTCTTAAGAATTGAAGGGAGTCTTGTCAGAAACATCTGCAAATAACAAAGTTTCTGCGGTTAAAATCTTTGAAACGCGTTCAAGAGAGATTCACTTTCATGAAAGAAACCATTTTTTTCTCTTTAGCCATGTTTGTCTTACCTCTTCGACAATTAAACAGCACGCATTTCCCAGAGACAACCTTAAATCTGAAAGGGACTTTTGAACTCCGACATCTGCCCCAGTGATCTGACGAGTCTAAAGAGAAAGGCAGATAAATCGTTTGAAAATAAGAAAATGAATAATTTTGTTAATGTTTGTAGATTTTTCAATACATGTGTATCATAAAAAATTATCATTCGCAAAATTGAATTATTATAAAACATCTCTACTGTTCACATCAGCCAATGTAAAAACTGCCTGTCCTATTCTTGTTTCGTAATTTGTCTCTGTACGGACACAAAAATCGTATGCTTCCTAAGGGGTGGAGAACAAAATATAATAAATCTTAAGAAAACATATCTTAAAAAATCTGTTATATGAAATATGAAGTTTGATAGGTAATTTATGAGCAGTGCTATAAAAATGCAGAAACCTTCAATATTTTCAGAAGAACTTGTATGGTTTCCTCTTCATTGTTGTAAGTATTGTCAAGTTCCTCAAAAGCGTCTGTCCACTGATTGTCATACAATTCTGAGAATTTCTCTGCTATTTTAGTTGGGCGATTGGTATCACTAAGGTCGGTTATTGCTGCATTACCATGAGTTAGTTTAGCGCCCGCGACTTTACTTAATCTGAAGTGGAATAAAGTCCAATACGTAGGTCATTTACCAATGTTTATGTGTTAACAAATTCCTTTCATTTAAAGTGATTTTTTTTATTCAGAAAATAAATCTTACATATAGTGACGTCCATTTTCATCAAATATTACTTTGAAAAGTAATTGTTTTAAAATTTTAGTGACCGTTTGTGCTCAATTTATATGTACTTACGATGCATAAATATAAAAAAATATAACTCACAGCCAAATGAACAAAAATATCTTAATATTGAACAGGTAATGTTGAAAACAAGTCATAATAAATCCAAGCCCTTTGGGAAAATTATCACTTTACATTTTTTTTAAGATAAGATTTTGAGAAGAAGCATTTGGTATAAAAGAAATATTATAGTTTTTATTTTGAAGTACACATATTACCAAGTAAACATTAATTTTTTTTAGTTTTTAAGGTGAGATAATGAGATAACTTTATAATGAACAACGACAATGTTAAACATTGGAATGTGTGCATGTGCTGTATATTTTGAAGAATGTTTTTTGGGGAAAAATCACCTTAAGTGCATTTTCTTTTCTTTTCAGCAATATCCATATGTAGTTGGGTATTTTCACTTGATATAATTTTGACTTTAGCTGTTGATCAGTTTCACTGAGCTTCTTGCTTGTTGATGCTGCAGTTTCTTCAACCAATCTCTTTTCTGCAAGAAACAGCTTTTGACAATTTTTGTGTTAAATATTAGAATGCAATTGTAGAGGATTGTTTCATATTAAAGCAGCATTTCTCCATGAAAAAATTTTTGTATTTCTTGTGATTTTGGCGTTTTCTTTCTTTTGGCATGTAATTTTATTTGTACCTTTTTTAATATTTTAACTGTTTAAAAACAATGCATAAATGGAAATTGTGATCACATTATACAGAGTAAGCTTGACATAAAAGTTTGTTCTGTAGTACAGTTGTATTAAGTCTATTTTTCATGATTTTTGGTTAGAAAAAGTAATTTTGATTCAGTTAAAAATAAAGTGAAGAAATTCTCTTGAATTACCAGCAAATTGTGACGTCTTATTACAATAACATTATTATCATTATCAAAATATTTAATTACCTTTTCGCTGTGTCATCTTTCTCTTTGGATAGTTTACTCACGTTGACTTGTAGTTGGCTATTTTCACTCACTAGTTCCGCAATCCTGTTTTCCAGTTGTCTCATTTGAGAGAAGCTGCTGTTGTAATTCATCAACCATCTTTTTTCTTGATCTAGCATTTTCTTCTTGAAGATATCTGTCCTCAGCTTGAAGTTGATTTAAATTTTCTTGTAAATGCTGATTTTCCATGTACCACATACCTATACCAAAAATGTTGTACGATCAATTTTTATTTCCGCGTTGAAAAAATATGCTGACATAACAAAAGAATAAAAAAAAACGTTATTTTATCCCTTTATACCATTTCGTTGTACATTTAAGTTTCTTTAAAGCCTCTAAAAGTTCTCCTCTGAGTTTTTAGTTTTATCTTCTTCTTGTTGAATTGTATTTTTTTTTTAAATACTCCGATATCAAACTCTTTTTGCATCAATTCTTCTTGTGTGTTGCCAATTTTATACTGGTGTTCATTAATTTTATCAAGACATTGAATCATCCAACTTTTCTTCCTCATATTTTGTTTTTTTCCTCAAAAACATTTGAGAATATGAAATGAAAAGTTAATAATGAGACAATAAAACTTCTGGAAAAAAAGTTTTGGTCAGGACTTTTTTTTGCAGTCTGTTGTTGAGAGGACAATATTTTTTCAAAGATAGCATGATTATTTTTATATATATTTTCAAATATAACAAAATTCTTTACATCGATTTTTAAGGTGGAGATTTACTCCATAAAATATAGGCAATAGAGTACATTTATATACTTACAAAGCATAATCTTGACTACTAGTACATGTGTTCATTTTTTTCTAGCAGAATCATTTTTAAATAAGATGTCCATTTCCTTTTTCTAAAATTATTTTTCTTTAATAATTACATAATTACTTTTCAAAACATTTTTAAATATTCTTTAAACAGACTGAATTCGACTCTTTAATAAACACCTTACAAGAAATATTGAAAGTAAATGAATAAATTAGTTTCAAAAAGTTTACATTTTTGTAAATTCCAATGAGAATTTGGTTTGAAAAAAACACCTACTCTGCCATTATATTCTCCTTTTCTTTCATTAACATTGAGACATATTCTCGGAAAGTCTGATTTTCTGTTTTCAGATTTCTTAGCTGTACTTCGTTGGTCCCTTCGTGTTTGGATCTAGGTTAATGAAATCAACTTCAACACAACCTTGCCAAAATATTCATTAAATAAAAATGTTATTTGAAATCAAATAGTAAATTATAACAGTCTTAAATACATTTTGATTGAAATGGTAACATTGAACGTATAATATTTAACATCTGTAAATTCATATTAATGGTGGGAATGTTCATTAACAAGGAACTGTTATTGTCATCTGTCAGTCTGTAAAGAATGATCTCGATATTTAACAAGAATTTTAGCTTTACAATTACTGCTTATTAGTCCAAAAAAGATTGACCTGTATTTTCCTTTCATTTAGATAGATTTACCGGTATTTACAATAATCACTTAGCCAGTATATTAAATAAAGACCATAACTGAGTGAAGAAAACTTTATTCTTAGCCATTCAAAATTTTAAATCTGTTATTAAAAAATTATGACAAAACTCGTAGAGAATTCTTGAATGAACAATAAAGAAATTAAATTCGCATCCTCCGTTTTTATTTGAGATATTTCGACCTTAAAATGTCTGTTATCATTATGCAGTTTTTTCCATGATTGTTTCCATTGCTTCCACTTCTTTCATTTTTACCTCTGCGTCTTCAAGACAAGAAAATTATAAAAGGTATATTATGCAAATTTAACAACTTAACAATCTACTAGTATTCGTTTTGAGCTACAAATGTTGCTGTTATTTTGTTTTAGTGTTATCTGTTTATAAGTCGATTCTAATCTCTAGTTTTAAAAAATATCTTTAAACACATTCATAAATTTTTCTTTATATCAACCTTTTTTCCCAAACTTTCTTTTTGCTCATTATGTTTCCCTGTTTTCTCTAATTGGGATTTTTTCCAATGCATGTGATCTCTATGAAAAGTTCAGCCTCAGTATCATATGTGTATTTATTTTCGAAATAATTTGAACAGTTTTAAATATTATTATTAGCTCACCTGAGCCGAAGGCTCAAATGAGCTTTTCTGATCAAAATTTGTCCGTTGTCTGTTGTCGTCGATGTCGTCGTCGCGTAAACTTCACATTTTTATCTTCTCCTCAAGAACCACTGGGCCAATTTCAACCAAACTTGCCACAAAGTATCCTTAGATGAAGAGAATTTAAGTTTTTTCAAATAATGGGCCACGCCCTCTTCCAAGGGGAGATAATTATAAATTAGTGAAAAAAATTTAAAAATCTTCTCAAGAACCACTGGGCCAGGAAAGATAAAACTCAAGTAAAATCATCCTCAGGTAGTATAGATTCAAATCATGACCACTGGGGATAGGATGGGGCCATAATGGCCGATCAAAGTTTTTCATAGGAATATATAGGAAAAAACTTTAAAAAGCTTCTTCTCAGGAACTACTGGGCCAGGAAAGATGAAACTCATGTGGAATCATCCTCAGGTAGTGTAGATTCAAGTTTGTTCGAATCATGACCCCTGGGGGTAGGATGGGGCCACACTGTCTGATCAAAGTTTTTCATAGGAATATATATAGGAAAAATCTTTAAAAATCTTCTTCTCAAGTATTGCAAAGCCATGTTTAGTGATATTTATATGGAAGCATCCTCGGGTACTGTAGATTCTAGTTTGTTCAAATCATGAAAAATCTTTAATAATCTTCTTCTCAAGTATTGCAAAGCCATGTTTAGTGGTATTTATATGGAAGCATCCTCGGGTACTGTAGATTCTAGTTTGTTCAAATCATGAACAGGGATCCAAGTTTTACATTTACAAAACATATTTTAAAAAATCTTCTTCTTAAAAATAGCAAAGGCATTATTAGTGATAGTAGTATTTATATAGAAGCATTTTCAGGTAGTGTAGAATTAAATTTGTTCAAATCATAACCCCCAAGGGTAGGGTGGGGTCACAATGACGGATCAAAGTTTTACATAGAAAAATAAATGGGAAAATCCCAAGAACAGAAAAGCTATGTTGTCAAATTGACACCTAAGCATCTTCATGTATTGAAGATTTAAATTTGTTCAAATCATGGCCCTTTGGGGTAGGGAGGGAAACAATGGGGAATCAAATTCAAATTATTACAAAGTAATATATAGGAAGAACATGTTTTAAAAAATAAAATGTTTAAAAAAAATCTTTTTATCAAGAACAGCAGTCATATCTATATTAATATGAAGGCATTCTAAAGTAATTTTAAAATTCAACCCCCCCCCCTCCCCCGTAAACTTTTCTGATCTGATTTGTGCTATTCCTAGCCGATATTTGCTCAGGTGAGCGATGTGCCCCCCGGGCCTCTTGTATCATATTCGATCAAATTTTCTTACCTTTTAAAATTTGAGAGATTCGATTTCAATTTCTACTGTCTTTAGTTTCTCTTTTGTAGTTAGAATTTCCTCGTCCTTCCGCTTAATTGATGTAGAATGCATCAATGCAAGATCTGTTTTTTCTTGAACCCTGGTTTAAATTAAAATTTTCTTACTTTACAATTTACAAAATAGATCGAATATACTTAGAGAAAATATACGAACGTTATGTTAATATAAATGCTTTATGTTGTTTGGTATTTTCTTCTTGACATAAATGTGTGGGGAAAACTTCAATCATTAATACATGTACTTATCTTCACTAGATAAGATTTAAAAACTTTCAGGTTAATGTTATGTGTGCATTTAGAAATGTGGATATTAGACTTGCTGCATTAAAAAGATCATACATTGCTTTTAGTTTATCTTCCAGTCTTTTATTTTGATCATGCAGTTCTTTGTTTTGAAGCATACTATTCGTCTCTGTGGCGAACTCTTGTTGATATGCGTCTTTCGTCGTCAGGGGTTGTAGTCTAGAAATAACAATGTACGTACACTTTGATATGATCAGTTGAAAACTTTCATTTAGAACTTCGTTATTTCAAATTTAACAAATCGCCTTTCATTCAAAAATATTATGATAAATTTAATTTCATTTAGAAAATATGTATTATATTTAATAAAAGAACATTTGATATACATATGTATACTAGGCTATTCTCTTTAAAAGAACTTGATGTATAGCACTCTTACTTTATATTTAAGTTCCTGTTTTCTTGTAGCAGCAAATTATATTTAACCTCGAGTGTGTGTAGTTGATTATGCAACCTTTAAAATGGTTAACTTTATGCATTTTCTAAATTGTCTTTTGTATAGTAATACACTGTACTTCGGTAAGATACAAAATATATTAATATAAATCATTAAAGATATCAGTACACGATATTAGATACCATGCTCTTGTAAAATGAATTTTTGCTTTCATGCATGAATGGAATTTAGTTGTATCCATCGATTGAATTTGAGATCGCAATGACCGATTTGTGCTTAAAACAAAATATTAAGAATAGTGGAAATTCATTATGATTGTGACATCATTTTCGTTTTAATATTGTTATTTTTAAAATTATAAAAATGGGAATTACGAACAACCTCATAAATCATGAAACTTAATTAATCGTGAACAGGCCAAAACATTGATCAACTGAAACATCAGAAGCAGAGATAAGATCAGGAGCCTGGGATTAGTAAGCATCCCCTGTCATCAATTCACATTCCCATGAATCGACAGGGGATTCTAACTCCGTCGTGCCACCTCTGATGTTTTGGAGGTCCGTGTTTGCTCTTCTCCTGTTTTGTATTGTTTTATGGACTTTTGATCTTGAACACTGTTTCTTATCTCCATATGTGTCATGTATTGATGAGATATACGGAGTTCCTCATCGTCAAACTTAGCATAGAAAGAATGACCTAATAATACGTATGTAAGGTTCAATCCAAATGGTCCAGTGATATGTTATGTTACAAACATTGTCATTACAAAGATAGAAGGATTTGCGAAAAACTAACTTTAAACGAGTCCCTAATGGAAGCTAAAACAAACATTAAAGTAAATTGTTTACCTTGCAAAATCCTCTTCGGACTTTCTACATGAATAATTGTTTTCTGTACTTCGTTTCATTTGCCTTTCAGTCTCTATATGAAATTCAAGATTCTTCAACTTTTCTCGTAAATTTCTATTTTCTTTTTCAACTTTCTTGCATTCTTCCTCTTTTTCCCAATATGCTTCCAGGCTAAAATATTTTTAAAGGTAATAATGCTCTAAGTGCATTAGAACAAGATTTGGTGTGAAAATAGGAATCTTTTTTTTCAATAATTTAATATTAAACATACAAAAACATCACTCAGACATTGTTGATGGTGGTAAAATTATTGTTTTTATTTCTAATAAAAAAAAATTCCACATAAGACTCTATTCTTCATGACGTTCCAATAAAATGGGTTTGCCAAAAGTGAAAAATACTATTAAAATGTAACTGTCAAACTCAGGGCTCCCCATGAGCATTTCCATTGTGTACACAGTAATGTTTTCTTGGGCAACAGTAAAATTTCTCTACACTGCTGTAATATTTTCTGCAGCGATCATATTCATTCCAACTGAAACTTTTTATAATCTACGGTTGTTTGATTTCCAATGCTGAAGAAATAATTTTTCTCTTAATAAGGGCCCATTGTTAATTATTTTGCTAGATTTTATACATTAATCAAGAAAAGAGGTCAGCTTTACGCTAACCTCTGCGTAGTTGAGAGACCTTAAATGCGTCTGTGTCCAAATAATTGAAGCAGATTTCGTTTCAATAGTTTGTATATTTTGTACTGTCCTAATTAGAGAAGTATGGAAGACGCCTCATGTAAATTCCATTGTAACAAGAGTTAAGATGCTTTAATTTCAGCTAAGAATGGCCAGGTTAATGTTTTTCGAGCATATGCAATTAGTATTTGGAACAAGTAGAAGTTTTTTGGAGCCGATGTCGTACAAAAATAAATATTCGTATACGCTCTATATTTCCCAAACTTGCATGGATGATAAATTTAAGTGTGTACACTACAAAGGAAAATTTGATAGTTTATCTGAAAATAAGTTTATTAAAGCACTCTACTGGAGTCGTTTCAGACGCTTGAATTGAATTGAACCTACATTTTCTAGATGAGTGACAAGATTCTATTTTTTAGCATATTTATATCAATGAAACTTGAAGATTTACCTAGAGCAAACTTGCATCGGCATTATTAAAATATAACTTGTAGATTCATCTCCTGGACATGCTGGATGAGTGACTAATAAGCCTTTTCACGTTAACTGTGAATGAAGATCTTTTTAAATCAAGTACATAAATATATATAGTATTATAGAATAAATCAATCGTTTTCTATATCCATTAATTCAATTTTATCTATATGAAAAATCGAGATAATATTTTAATCAAATACATGATTCAAGAATGGTTATCGTTTAGTGTGTAAGTGGGTGGGTGGAGCAGAGGTTGTGTATGTTATAGGGAGAGAGGGTGTGTGTGAGGGAGAGGGTCAGTGTGTTTGTGTAAATGTTTATTGTTGTCAAGTTGGCAATTTCAAGATTTCAAGTACCACAACTATTTTTCTTCCGCATAAACACTGTAAAATTTCAAATGGAGAAACCCGAAAATGTGCCCTCCATCACTTGTTCAACTAAAATGCATTATAAATGCTATAAGATTAAAAGCGCAAATCCTACCTTGAATGTAAATTCTTCTGCAGCTCCGTAATCTCTTTTTCTTTATTTCTAATCTCCGCAAACGCCAGACCATTTTTCACTGATTCTAGTTCATGCATAAAATAGTCTTTCTCTGCTACTGTTTTGTCTAGACTAAAGAAATATGTGACACTACATTAATTGCCAATTTTACGATTATTTAATTTGTTGATATGTAATAAATTATAATATACAAGTCTATGCACAACACAGATTCATTTTCATGCAAAACGTAAAAACAAAATGTATGTATTTGTTGAAATACATATTCATTCCATTACCTCTTTTCCAAATCATCAATTTTTTTCGGCTTTCTTTATACATGTTATCCTAAATCTGTTTTCAAAATGATAAAAGAAAAAATGCGATAATAAAAGAAATGAATACACGATTATAAAAAGATATGCTCCTATTTTGTATTGTTTAAAGGACTTTGAGCTTCAATACTTTTCATTATCTCCATATATTTCATGTTCTCCAGTTGACCTTTGAATCGAGTTATCCTTTGAATATTAGGAAGAACACTGGAATGTGAAAGTGAAAAAACACTGACTTTTGAGATTGATTTGTTTTTCATTTTGACTACGCAAAATTGGTTCATAAGTGAAACATAAAAACTGAAAACTATATTTATTTATGCAGAAAATCACGTAAGTCTTTGGTAAGTCTTTAGAAATGCAAATGGAATTAAAATATATATATTCATTATATTAAATAATTCCAAGAAAAGATGCTTCTGGGTAGTCAGAGATGCTTTCATCGAATGGCAATATTGTTCGATATCAAATTCACAAATCAAGGTTCTTTATACAAGTACTACACCTGTCACTTTTTTGTTGTTCTTGATAGAGATTCATCTGTAACATTTTTACAGTATCCTCTTTCCATTTAATTTGTTCTTCCATGCTGCAAAGGACACTATCTGTTAGCAAGTGATTGTGAATAATACTGTAGGTTCCTCTATATATATAAGCAAGGAATTAATTACCGCGTAATTTCACGAGAAGCACACTCGCGCAATATATAATTATTCAGTGAAATCCATTTAAAATCCCTTCATTAACCGTTCAATTATTGTTCTCATGACTTGAGCGTTAACACTGTTTAAGGGACATTTCGCGATAATAAATACTCGCGAAAATAAGGAATCTCTATTTAAAGTATGCTCTCTCTCTCTCTCTCTCTCTCTCTCTCTCTCTCTCTCTCTCTCTCTCTCTCTCCATATACACCGTCACATCCATTTACATACATATGTCCTTCTATACTCACACAAAGAAAGAAAAACTAGTACATTACAATTCATATTCATCTTCAAAATTTTTCATTTTCCATTTTAGATTTCCAACTTCTTCTGCTTTTCTTTCTACTTCATTTTTCAGTCTGCAAAAAGAAATGGATTCTATATAATATTTAGTCACAATAATCTAAACTAATATGGATTCTTTAAACGTCAATCGTATGTGTATTTAAAAAAAAAAAATTATTCATATTTGGATCGACAAGCAGAATAAATGCGCAAGAACGATCGCTTCAGAATGAAACATCATAAAACGGGGTTGAGAAGACTTCATCATCTTATGGGTTTTTTTTTTTTTGTTTTGTTTTATTTTGTTTTTGTTTTTGTTTGTTTGTTTTGTATTTTTTATCCACAAAGATTTTTTTAATTACTCCCTTGATTTTACAGATCCTTTTTAGAAAATTTCAAAGCAAAAAATAAGGACAACTAATCCTAAAATTATTTGTTCTTGAATTAAAAACAAGAGACCCGCAGGCCTTATAGGTCACATGAGCCTCATGCAAAAACTTTCCAATGGTTGAATTTGGTTTAAACTACACGCCATGGCATTCACAATTTTGAAAGAGGCATCATTGATTATAACTATTTATAAGCAATTGCTTAGTTTGGTTACTTAATACCCATAGACAGGATAGGGGGACAAAAAATACATTTTAACTTATCAATAATATTCAGCAATAATCAGTAGTGCCCCCACCACACATGAACACCTGACTCTAGGTCCACACATTTCACAATTTTGGAAAAGGCACCATTGCAAATCCAAAATGTTTGATTATCACCAAGGAGCAGATTTCAAACAATTCATTTTTAGTCTATAAGTAGAGCCCCCACCCCCTCCTCTATGGTACTCCTGACCCAGGGGCCTTGAAATTCACAATTCTGGAAGAATGGCCCTTGCTCATCATAGTTATATAGGTAATTCATCTGCTTAATACCCAGGAGCAGAGAAGATTTTCAAAGATTTAATGCATTCTCACTATATAATCAATAAAGCCCCACCAAAAGACTGAACCCCCGACCCTGGGGCCATAAAATTCACAATTTTTGAAGAGGCATTCTTGCTCATCATGACTGTGCTTAATTAGTTTTATTTAATACTCAGGAGCAGAAAAGAAGACTTTCAAAGAATTACTGTATTTTCACTATATAATCAATAGAGCCCCGCTCTAAGACCAGAACCACTGACCCTGGGGCCAAAAAATTCACAACTTTTGAAGAGGCGTTCTTGCTCATCACAACTATGTACTTAGTTTATTTAATGCCCAGAGAAGAGAAGAAGATTTTCTTTCAAAGAATTAATGTATTTTCACTATATATTCAAGGGCCCCTCTCTAACACCAGAACCCCTTACCCAGGGACCATAAAATTCATAATTCTGATGAGGCATTCTTGCTCATCATAACTATGTAGTTAGTTATTTTATTTAATACTCAGGAGCAGAGAAGAAGATTTTCAAAGAAATAATGCATTTTTACTATATAATCAAAAGGATCCCCGTCCTAGGACCAGAACTCTGAACCCTGGGGGCATAATATTCACAATTCTGGAAGAGGCATTCTTGCTTATTATAACTATGTATTTAGTACCCAGGAGCAGAGAAGATTTTCAAAGAAAATCTGCATTTTCACTATATAATCTATATACCCGTAGCACCTCCCTAATACCAGAACACCTGACCCTGGGGCCATGAATTTCTTGATTTTGGTAGAGGACTCAATGATGATTACAATCATACCAACAGTTTTACTGCTTGATGTCCAGTAGTAAAGAAGGTTTTTAAAATTGCACTAATTTTAGTGGTTTTGATCCCACCCTTCAGGCCCAAGGGGGGATGGGGGACATGAAATTCATAATTTTTGTTCCCCTTCACCAATAGAAGCTTTTGCCAAAATTGGTTGAAATTGGTCGGGCGGTTACAGAGAAGAAGCTAAAAATGCTCAAATGTTAATACACGACGCACACCGCACGACGACAGACAAAAACCGTTTAAAAGGATACCAAAAGGTCACCTGAGTTTACTCAGGTCACCTAAGATGATCACACTGAAAAATAACCTTATGATCACATACTCTGAAATATATTCCAAGGAATTCTTATATTCTTCGTGTAGATTATCAGTTAGACTATGTGGAGTTTCCTCTCTACAACAAACAAATTAAACAAATTTTTAAAATTGATATTAAAATCATTTGTTCCCTTTCAAACAATAAATATAATGACATTATTTTGTCGTCAGCATACTGTTTGTACCTTTTTGCAGAATTTCGATCAAAATCCCAGAAAGAGTCTCTCAATCTTCATTATGTAAGAGAAAGAAAACAAATGTTATGCTTAAAGTAACTTTATGTGAAATAAAATTTTCCAAAATAATTGATTAGCAGAGATAAATGAAGTCAAAGTCGCCTATATCCTACTGATCTCGTTCTTCTTCTACTTTATGTAACCTCTCCTTCAAACTATGGTAAAAAAAAAAGTAGTTCAATTAAAAATCTTATTTAGGGAAATATTATTTCTTTAAATTTCAGTTTTCTTTTTTAATGTAGTTTGATATAAAAAAAATAAATAGAATCAATGTTATCAATTTTAAAACTTTTTTCTGACGTTAAGAAAAATCAATAGTTATTAAAGTAGATTTTCACTTCATACCTAGAATTTTCTTCTTCTAACTCTTTGATAATTCCAGACGTTAAATTCTTCACTTTTTGCTCACTATTTTTCAACCGTTTTGTGACTCTAGAAATGGTAAAAAAATTTTTTTTTACTTCAAACTTAAACTTTCGATAATGGTTTTAATGAAATACATGTATAACTGATAATAAATATAATAAATGACAACAAATTAAAATCTTCCAATAAATTTACGTGTTTTGCAAGCGTTGGTAGTCCCTTTTCCTTTGGTCTATTTCTAGCCCTTTCCATAAACATGCTGTGCAGCTTCTTTTATAGGCCTTTTGTTTTCCATTGATTCTTTCAGAAGCTGGTCCATAAGTTACTGTTTTATTACTTAGGTAAGGGAAAATTCAGAAAAAAATATATTTCTCATTGAAGACCACAGTGCAACAATATATTCAAGAAGTGGTGTAAATCAGGTGTAAAAAATTGTGAATACTTTAAAAATTCCGAGGTACTTTTGGACAATTTGTAATTACAAGGTTTTACCAAAATCAGCAGCTTAAAAACTTACGACTTTTTAACTTTATACACAACAATTCCACACGATGAATTAAAGACCAGGGTTTTTTTTTTTTAATATCATTGACAGCTGCTTTTTCAATAAACAAGAGGCCCACAAGTTTCATAGATCACCCGAGTATCATTTATCGACTTTCTAACAATTGAATTTGGTTCGTGTTTTAAACAGGAAGCCATGAAATGCACAATTTTGAAAGAGGTACTAATGCTTATCAAACTATACACTAAGCATGCTTACTTTGCTAAAATCCAGAGGTAGATTAGAGTAACAAACAGAAAATGCATTCTCACTTTATAACTTGTTGTACATCCCACCCTACAGAAAACACTAACCCTGAAGCCACATATTTCAAAATTTTGGAAAATTTATCAAAACTTTTTGAAGAGACACCCTTATTCAACATAACTATGTACTTGGTTAGTTTATTTAATACACAGAAGCAGAGAAGATTCTAAATTAAATAGTGTATTTTTAGTATATAATCTATTAAGCCCTTCCCTAACACTAGAACCCCTGATCCTGGGGCCATGAATTTCTCAATTTTGGTGAAGGACTCAATGCTGATTACAATCATGCCAACAGTTTGACTGCTTTATGTCCAGGAGTAAATTTAAGAAGACTTTTAAAGATTGCACTAATTTTAGTGGTTTTGGCCCCACCCCTCAGGCCCCCCAGGGGGGGGGGGGCAGGGACCATGAAATTCACAATTTTTGTTCCCCTTTACCCATAGATGTTTTACCCCAAAATTGGTTGAGTGGTTGCAGAGAAGAAGCTGAAAATGTTCAAATGTTAACACACGACGGATGATGGACGAAAACAGATGGCAGTAGGTCGGCTGAGTTTACTAAGGTGACCTAAAAATGGAACTTATAAATTTACCTACCTTGTCATTTGCAGAATTATTTTATGAAAAACATTCTGATTGTACACACAAGTACTCTTAAGTTGACATCAAAAAATTGCTTGAGTTTCTGATTGACAATATCTATGTTGTTTTTGGAGACCGGGTCTTCCAACAATCTATTGCAATTCCCATGGGTACCAATTGCGCCCCCTTATAAGCAGACCTATTTTTGTATCCATATGAAGCAGTATTTATCCAAAATCTTATACGTGAAAAGAAGAAAACGTTTGATATGGCCTGCAAACCGACATTTAGATATATATCGACGACGTACTGTCAATTAACAATAGTGACTTCCATTCTTATGTCGATACGATATATCCTGGTGAGTTTGAGATAAAAGACGCCACAGAGTCTGACGCATCTGTTTTATATTTGAATATTTTAATTGAAAAAGATGATAAATAATAATCTAACAACCAAGCTCTATGATAAACGTGATGACTTTCACTTTACAATCTTCAGCTTTCATAACTTATGCATCAATGTACCTTCATCACCCGCATAGTTTATATATCTCAGTTGATTCGACACGCAAGAGTATGCTCTACGTATGAACGATTTCTAAAACGAGGTAAATTATTGGCAAGCAAGTTGGTGAAAGAAGAATATCAGCATCTCTTTTAAAGTCATCATTTCGTAAGTTCTATGGCCTTGTCTGCAAAAACAATTTATCATTGAGTCAAATACTGACTGACGTTTTTCATACTAATTATTCGTCCATTATTTATACACTAAACTGCTCACTCCTCCATGGCACCTGATCCCACCTCTGATGTTTTGGAGGTCCGTGATTGCTCTGCTCCTGTGTTATAGTTTTATGGACTTTTGATCTTGAATACTATTCATTATCACCAAATGCGTCGTGATTAATTATGCCTCTACTGATTTTTCCCTATATCGAATTTAATTAGTTAAATGTGAATAATAGGAATCGATGTGTATGTACGAATTCCCCTGCGTTTGTTAAATATGCTAATCCCTGCTCGGAGGGTATTCCCGATTATCCGAAATCCTCTAGATTTTACTTTTGAATTAGTATAATATGTTTTGGACTAATCCCCGTTCGTTAGTCAAGTGAGCTAATCCTCACTCCGAAAACTTATTTCCAGTAATCATCTAGTTCTTTTGTATCGGTATTATAAACAGTTAAAAGTACATCATTGAGGAAGTTAGCAAGATTCCAGTTACCTTCGACCAGAACTATTTCCTTTGCCTGCTCTCGGGAAATAGTACTGGCCTTGGAGAATTGGAATCTTATAATCTAATTACTTATAATTCATCAAATGCATTTTCTAACTCAAATATTTTCACTTCTTACCTGAACGAGTATACGTATGTTAATTTGGGGGCGGGTGATTGGCCTAAGGGATGTGATCTCTTATTGTAAGTTTTCAACATAACTTCTGATTTTTCTTTACCATTCTAAAAGACTCATTACTTCGAATCTGTCAAAAACAATAAGGTCAGTAAATTATATTACATGAGGCCCATGGGCCACATCGCTCACCTGAGCACATTGGCTCGGAAATAAAAGCAGAAATCACTTCAGTATTGAGAAGCTTACAAGGGGTGGGGGTCTGGAATGTTAAACTACCAACTACCTGATGATGCTTCCATACAACAAATGCCTTTGCTGTGTTTGAGCAGATTATTTTTTTCCCTATTCATTCATTTGACCCCCCCTCCCATTTTGGCGTAGCCCTACCCCTGGGAGCCCTCATTTCAACTAGTATGATTTTGTACTACCTGCATGAGGATGCCTTCATATCAATATGATTAAACATGGCTTTTCTGTTCTTGGGAGAAAAAATGTCCTTGATATTTCTGGTCAAAACTATGATCCCCAATTGTGGCCCACCCTAACCAACCCCTACTTGCCGTTCATGACTTAACAAACTTGAATCAACACTACGTGAGGATGCTTACATAAAGATGTGATCAATCATGGCTTTGTGGTTCTTAAAAAGAAGAGTTTTAAAAAATGTTCCGATGTATTCTTTCCTATGGAAAACTTTAATCGTACATTGTGGCCCTGCCCTACCCCTGGGGATCGTGATTTGAACCCAGAGGTTCTTAAGAAGATGATTTTCTAAGATTTTTCCTATATACTCCTATGTAAATCTTTGATCGTCAGTTGTGGCCCCGCTCTATCCCCGGGTGTCATGATTTGAACAAAATTGAATCTACACTACCTGAGGATGATTCCATATAAGTTTCATTTTTACTGACCCGGTGGTTCTGGAGAAGATTTTTAAATTAAATTTCCTATATATTCCTATGTAAAACTTTTATCAGCCATTGTGGCCCCGCCCTATCCCCGGGGTTCATGATTTGAACAAACTTGAATCTACACTACCTGAGGATACTTCCACATGAGTTTCATCTTTCCTGGACCAATGGTTCTGAAGAAGAAGATTTTTAAAAGATGTCATTAATTTTTCATTAATTCATAATTATCTCCCCTTGGAAGAGGGCTTGGCCTTTCATTTGAACAAACTTGAATCCCCTTACTCAAGGATACTTTGTGGCAAGCTTGGTTGAAACTGGCCCAGTGGTTCTTGAGAAGAAGATGAAAATGTGAAAAGTTTACGACGACAACGACGACGACAACGACGGACAACGGACAAATTTTGATCAGAAAAAAAAACAAAGTAAAATTAAAAATTCAGCTTTTAGCATTATAGCAACTATGCTAGGCGTTTATGTTAGTTTTGAACATAGAAGACATTCCTGAGATGTTGTTAATGATCCTAACAAAGCAAGAAATTACACATCAGGCTCCATTATTTTATTTTAACAATTTAAACTGTTATACTCAATATAGCATTTCTCAAAGAATATTTTTTTTTAAATATACACTTTTTGGTAACATTGTGTTAATTTTAACTGTTACCACTTAAACATGTCAGGATTCGGTTTTTTTTTTTTTTAGAATTTCATCTTAATAATTGTGTTATAATTGGTGATAACGAAAATGAAAGTAAGGAATATGCTTCTCTGTTGAATTATATTTTTATATATAATAAATGTTAAAACTGAACTAACATAATTTGCTTCATATTTCTAAACGGTACTCGTAAAATAAGTAAAATTAAAAGTCAGCTTTTAGTATTATAGCAACTATGCTAGGCGTTTATGTTAGTTTTGAACATAGAAGACATTCCTGAGACGTTGTTAATGATCCTAACAAAGCAAGGAATTACACATCAGGCTCCATTATTTTATTTTAACAATTTACACTGTTATACTCAATATAGCATTTCTCAAAGAATATTTTTTTTAAAATATACACTTTTTGGTAACATTGTGTTAATTTTAACTGTTACCACTTAAACATGTCAGGATTCGGTTTTTTTTTTTTTTTTTTTTTTTTTTTTTTTTTTAGAATTTCATCTTAATAATTGTGTTATAATTGGTGATAACGAAAATGAAAGTAAGGAATATGCTTCTCTGTTGAATTATATTTTTATATATAATAAATGTTAAAACTGAACTAACATAATTTGCTCATATTTCTAAACGGTACTCGTAAAATTACCAATGAATACAACCATTTTTTTCCATTTGGTATTATACATGTATACGTGGTATTTAATATTACAGTTGTTCAAAGATATCACCCATTTTTGGAAGCATAAAACAGTTTGGGTTTTTTTAATTAGTTATCCAGTTCTTATTTTAATACATCTTCAGTAAAATAAATGTCTTACCTTTATCAATTCTAAAAAAAGCGTAACTAACTTTACTTTTGCAACTCGGTATACATGAAATGTTATCTCCTACTTTTGGTTTGTGTTCTATGAAATCAGCTAAGCCTCCAGGGGGATTTCCGTCGCTTTTATTATGGAGAGCAACATACATCATTAAACTATGGAACGCCGTAACTGCCTTATGTGGAGAACTTTCATTATATGCTGGTACTCTGTCATTATATGATGGTATTTTATCATTATATGATGGTGTTTTGTCATTATATGATGGTATTTTATCCTTATATGATGGTACTCTGTCATTATAAGATGATACTTTGTCATTATGTGCTGGTATTTTGTCATTATATGATGGTAATATTTTTCTTCAGATATCAATTCTCTTCCCTGCAACAGCTTTGCTTAAATTTTATTAATAATAAAACTTTAATCTCCCTCATCCGTCCCTTTTCTACATTCTATCAAACAATTTCAATTGCTACTCTTCTTCCTATTTCAGAAATACAGACAACCAGGAGATAAATACCTTTGACGCTTTGTTTCAATTATTTCTCAAAGTGAACACTTCTTCTCTGACGGGTGAAACCGGAATTGCTACATATCAATTTAAACTATTTACAGTTGATAATGACTATTGATTGGTTAATATCCTATCGTTGATTGTACATACAAGAGGCCCATGGGCCACATCGCTCACCTGAGAAGCTTTGACCATTCTGTTCTTTACCAGATTTCACCCTTGTTATACATAATGCATCCCCACCCTACCCCACTGATCATAATTTAGACATTTTGAAATCTACACTACCCCATGATCCTTCCATGGGCACATATGTTTCAGCTTTTTTGGCCCAGTGGTTCCTGAGTCGGGTATATGCAATAAATAAAGAAGATTTTCAAAGATTTTTCCTATATATTTCTATGTAAAATTTTGATTCCCCATACTGGCCCCGCCCTTCCCCCGGGGGTCATGATTCCTACAATTTAGAATTTACACTACCCCAGAATGCTTCCACATAAGCTTCATTTTTTTCTGGCCCAGTGGTTCTTGAGAAGAAGATTTTCAAAGATTTTTCCTGTATGTTTCTATATAAAACTTTGATTCCCCATTGTGGCCCCACCCATCCCCCGGGGGTCATGATTTGAACAATTTAGAATCTACACTATCCCAGGATGCTTCCACATAAGTTTCAGCTTTTCTGGCCCAGTGGTTCTTGAGAAGAAGATTTTCAAAGATTTTTCCTATATATTTCTATATAAAACTTTGATTCCCCATTGTGGCCCCGCCCTTCCCCTGGGGGTCGTGATTTGAACAATTTAGAATCTACACTACCCCAGAATGCTTCCACATAAGTTTCAGCTTTTCTGGCCCAGTGATTCTTGAGAAGAAGATTTTCAAAAATTTCCCTATATATTTCTATATAAAACTTTGATTCCCCATTGTGGCCCCACCCATCCCCCAGGGGTCATTATTTGATCAATTTAGAATCTACATTATACCAGGATGCTTCCACATAAGTTTCAGCTTTTCTGGCTCAGTGGTTCTTGAGAAGAAGATTTTCAAAGATTTTTCCTATATATTTCTATGTAAAACTTTGATTCCCCATTGTGGCCCCGCCCTTCCCCCGATGGTCATGATTTGAACAATTTAGAATCTACACTATACCAGGATGCTTCCATATAAGTTTCCGCTTTTCTGGCCCAGTTGTTCTTGAGTAGTCTATGTTCTAAGATTTTTCCCATATATTTATATGTAAAACTTTGATTCCCCATTGTGGCCCCGCCCTTCCCCCGGGGGTCATGATTTGAACAATTTAGAATCTACACTACCCCAGGATGCTTCCACATAAGTTTCAGCTTTACTGGCCCAGTGGTTCTTGAGAAGAAGATTTTTTAATGACCCCACCCTATTTTTGTCTTTTCTTGATTATCTCCCCTTGCGAGGGGATATGTCCCTTCATTTTAACAATTTAAATTCCCCTTTACCCAAGGATGCTTTGTACCAAGTTTGGTCAAAATTGGCCCAGTGGTTCTTGACAAGAAGTCGAAAATGTGAAAAGTTTACAGACGGACAGACAGACAGACGGACAGACGGACGGACGACGGACAAAATGTGATCAGAAAAGCTCACTTGAGCCTTCGGCTCAGGTGAGCTAATAATTTACAAATAATATTACATATACATGTAATTCATTGTAATCGATTTATTAAAAAAAATATTTTTTTTATGATGAAAAATGGTAGATGTCATATCTTTATTTTCCTCGTACTTGAAGTCGGGTATATGCAATAAATAAATAATAGATTTGGAATTCCTAGTTTTAACTGTCGCTAGCATTGCGAATGTAGCATTGTACTAGTATCACATTTTAACCTTCTGCACAAATAAGTTTTTGTAAATGCAACACTTTAATTGTCATAATAATTTTTAATAATATAAAGAATAAAAATGAAAAAGGTGCAATTTTTAACACAGTTTTTATCAGAAAACACTTCCGTCGTCATCCTAAGTACACGCCAATGTAAGTTTAATTGTTATTTTTTTTAGATTAACACACACAAAACAAGCTTATTAAAAATCAACTACTTTATAATTTAAGCTATTTCGAAAAATCAGGGAGAGTGCCTCGGCTGTGCAACGCCCTTCGACAATACAGGTCCATTCTCATGCAAGTACAACGCTGGCCAGACAATGAAATCCAGATATCCTCCTGTTTTGGTATACCTCCTTAAGATGTCTGTGTTAAATTCTGTCCCCTGTCTGAACTCAAACCTGACAAACACGGGTGGATCACGGATTCTCATTCTCCAACACAGACTCGCACAATGACGGGCGTACAACTTTGTTTTAGGGGACACAGAAACGTCCACCTTTTTCAGAATGGATGGAAGTCTTGCCAGAAACATCTAAAAATTATAGAAAATAATCGTTATTTCTTAAATATTTTGGCATTCGCCCTAGTGCACTGGATTTCTTTGAAATATTTTTGCATTCGCTCCACTGCATTTATTCCTTTGAACATATCATTGTATTGGTAAGCTTCATATATTGGTTCTGCTTACCTCTTCTACAATCGCACAACATGCATTTCCCAACGACAACCTTAGATCTGTAAGGGCTTTCTGAACAGGTACGTCAGCACCAGTGATTTGACGGGTCTGGTAGTAAGAGGCAAATATAAAAGAAAAGTTTAATACATGTATATATATATATATATATATATATATATATATATATATATATATATATATATATATATATATATGTTCCAGAACAAGACTGCCCTAAACCTAATAATTTAAATAGGTCTGAATTACTAGTCAATGTCCTTTTCCTTTATGTTTAAAATCATATTTATTTTTTTATTTAGATCTTTCTATCTAAAATATATAAGAATTTTACGATGGCAAATTCATTTAAAATTTTTTTTTTAAAAATCGCACCTCGTTAGTCCTCTCATCTGCTAATGTAAAAACTGCTTGTCCTATCCTTGTTTCATAATTAGTCTCTGTTTGCACGCAGAAAGTGTATGCTTCCTGGTTAAAAGAATTATCTTATAATTGTCATACATAAAACTTATTGAAATGGAATTTAAAAAAAAACACACCTAAAATCAGTGTTAAACAACCAGACCTGTAATATTTTCAACAGGACTCGTATAGTTTCCTCTTCGTTGTTGTAAGTGTTATCAAGTTCCTCAAAAGCATCCGTCCACTGGTTGTCGTACAACTCGGAGAATTTTTCTGCTATTTTTGTTGGACGATTGGTGTCACTAAGGTCGGTTATTGCTGCATTACCATGAGTTAGCTTGGCACCGGCCACCTTACTTAACCTGCAGTGCAATAGGACTACAATGAACCTTCTTTTAATTTTTTTAGGCAAAGATGATTTTATGCGTAAAAGTAATTTTTGTTAAAGTCCGAAATTTGATAAAATTGTACCTTGTGAGTGCATTATCTTTCTCTTTGGAAACTTCAGCAATATCTACTTTCAGCTGGCTATTTTCGGTTGCTAAATGAGTTACTCTCTCCTGCAGACGTTGTGTTTCTGTGTTCATGGAATTCATTTGATATTGGATCTTTCTAATTTCCTCATCCTTTGAACTGACTTTGTCTTGAAGCATTTTGTTTTCGGCTTGAAGTTTATTCAAACTACCTTCCAAATGTCGAATCACTTGTTCCGAATCATTCTTTCTATAATTTATAAATTGTAAAGAATGTATATACCAAAACCCTTAGCAAAGAATTCTCTACTAATGTGGAACAGCCCTTTGATAAGAGTCATAACTTCCATAAAATAGCCCTTAATGTCCGATAGTTTGTCTTGTCAAAGTTTTCATTTACATGTATACTTCATATTTTTAATTTCATTTGATATTTATGAAAAGGCATGCACTGCTTCATAATTAAAACTTTTTTCTTTTAAACCTCGCTTTTTTCCAAAATTATTGAACAAATTAATTTCTATAATAAAATTACCTTTGCAAAGAATTGTCTTTTTCTTTCAAAACATTTGATAATTCCTGCTGCAGTTTCTTAATTTCTCTTTCATTCTGTGTAAGCCACTCCTGCTGTCGTTCGATTTCTCTCATTTTTTGCTCTGTCTTCACGTTTGAACTCTTAAACTCAGCTTCGATGGCATAATATCTATTGATTTTATCATAATTCTTAAAAAGCATCCTAATGTAGCCCAGTCATAATCAAAGTTTGTGCTCTTGTAAACACTATATTTTAATACATTTTTCATGCAATTTATGTTTTAAAACTTTTAAACCCTATTTTTGCAATACTAATAAAAGCTCAGATCTTACTGGTGCTTCTCTAAGAGAAGTTAAGCCCTTAGAATATCGAATGAAATGAGTCAGAGGTCCAACGGCAGCGTGTTGACTCAGGACCTCCTGGTATTGAGAGGATTATCAATTTTAATTATTTTGAATTAGGTTTGTAAACTATCACAGATTGAGAAATTTGATCATCATTCTCAAGAATACTATGGGACTATTGATTCCTACAATAATAGTGTAAGGCTTCTTAGAAGTACTTATAAGTAATTAGTTTACTGTTTACCTTGTAAGTGCGTTTTCCTTCTCTTTTTTCTCTTCATTAACACTCTTTCTTAATTTAGTATTTTCAATTTCCAGTTCTTTCACCATTTTCTGCATACGTAGAACCTCACTTCTCATGTCATCAATCTGTTTTTCGGTTTCCCCGTACATTTTACTAGTAGCTCTGGCACTTTCTTCTTGGCTTCTTCTGTTGTCCACTTGAAGTTGATTCAAATTATCCTGTAAACCTCTATTAACTTTCTTCAATTCCTTTTCAACGTCATCTTTTCTACAAAGAATAGTATTTATATTATATTTAAATTGAAACACTATATTTTCAAGTATGATTGTTTCAGTAACCGTGTCATATTTAACAAAATTTTATTTTATCAGACTATCGTTCAAACCTTCTCAATGCATCGTCTCTTTCCTTTGTAGTTTCTGAAAGTTCTTGTCGCAGTTGTTTGATATGCTCCTGTAAGCCTTGGATTTCTGACTGTTTTTTTCGAATATCATCTTTTAAATCCCGAATTTCACTTTCCACTTTTGAATCTCTACCAAAACAATTATTTTTAAATTACAAAGAATGGTAAATAAAAACGGAAGTCTTACCCACAGGGGCCGGTAACATACTGTATTTGATTTTACGTAATCATTATATGTATACAAAAAGAGAAAGGGAAACAACGTCAGCCCGAATTTACACAGGGTCGATCTCGGAAAAGACTCGTGTTTTCAATAAAGTACCTTGCAGTTAGTGAAATAACGTCCGGGATCATTCAGCAATAATCACTCTTTAATTAAAATATCATCGCGGTCATTAAAGAATCGTGTAAGTCGTGTTTTGCAGATCCGATAACCTGTCATGCAAGTGATGTAGTCTAAAGAACTGTATTCGGTAAATTAACTAATATTTGCCCCCCAAATCAAATTTTGAGAGATATATTGGTAATTAGGCTTTTTAAACAGAATATATCTGACCAAAGCACTGAAAATTTTCATCAAAATGTCGTCATATGTACGTAATGACGGGCCCTGGTGTAAACATGAAAAAATTTCCGTATTTATTCAAATCGGAGATTTTACCTTTTATTTGCAATTAACAAAAGAAAAAGATGTGTGTTCGAACGCTGGATCAATATTTTGATATAATGTGTAGAAAGATAAAATCAATGAAAATGTGCGAATTTTACCTCGTTTTCGTAAATTTTAAAGTTAAAATTGTTGAAATGGATATCCATTTTGTCCTCTTTCTTGAAAAAGGATATGTAAATAAATAGTTTGTGTTTTATTAAAAATAAAAATTGTAGTATATTCCTGAAGTTATAATTTAATTGGTTAATTTATATTTCTCATATAATTTATTTGAATTCACCCTGTGTAAATTTCTGACGTTTTTCAAAATTCTCTTTTTGTATACACAATATACGCAATATCACAATATGCAGTATGTCACCGGCAATGGTGGTCTCCATATCATATGAATTTAATTTGAAATCTATAACTTTATCAAAGAATTGTCTTTTCTTCCAGAGGCGTGAAAATGTATTTTAAACTGATTTCTATGAAAATTCTTGTTTTCATTTGATTTTCTTGTGTGAATTAATTTTCATTTAAGAAATATAAAAGGATATTTTATTTAATGCAGTTATATCTTTCTATATTGTTTAGACCTTTCCTTTGACGTTTAGTTTCATTGTAATGTGGCAACATAAATGACTGAAAAGAGTATTATTATGATGTGAACAATATTAAGCAATAGACTAAACGTCTTATTGGTGAAATCCTATCGATCCGCGTTACTGCTTCATTAAGTGTATTATATAGTACAGTATGACATCAATTAAAACTTAATGTTCTCTCTTCCAAGTTTTAAATCTACATGTAAATGTTCAATGCCTTTCATATTTTGGCCTGGGCATTACTTTCTATTTGACATATTTTAAAAAAGACTTGGCTTCAGTTCAAAAATGTTTGTGGAGTGAATCTCATATTCATCTCATCTTTCCACTTTCCTAGTTTTAATCCTTATTTTCAAAGGCGGTTATTGCAGAGACTATATCTTACATGTCATCATGATGGTCATTTTTTTTTAATTTGTATTTGAGTCTTAAATTTAATTTATTATTAGCAACTTTTAAATTTAGCCTTTGACATTTGCTAAATTACCAGTTAACATTTCACTTCTGAGGCCAGGCGATTGGTGAAAGAACTCTATATAAGAAATCTATGTTCGATTCTAGTAATCGAAAACATGTGATCGAATTTAAAGATATACAACAATACTACAGTTATCACTTTTTATGGCTCTGCTCCAATTCCATTTTTAAACTGGAGTTTTCTTTTCTCAATTTCTCTTTGTCTTCGTACAAACGATGGTACTCGCTGGTATTTGACAACACTTGTGCTTGATCATTGTCCATCTGCCTACAAAAAGACACGTTGGTTTAAATTTAAAAGTTGGAAAATACTTCGCCTTTTTTAGAGTTTCTTCAGATCTGACTTACTTTGATTGAAGAGATTTAATTTCAATTTCCATGCATTCCATGCGCTTTTTCATAACAGAAATATCTTCTTCTTTTCGACGTATTGCGTTCGAATGCATCAGAGCAATGTCATTCTTTTCCTGTTTTCTGCAATTTAATAATTATAATTTAAAGTAATGCTTAAGTTTTTTTTATAAATGAAATTCTCCTCGAACAGAAATATATAAAACTATACGACTTAAAACAAAACATTGAGACCAACCCTTTGTCAAGATTTCCGATATTATTGAAACAATTCCGTTTATTTCGTTTCACATTATTGACTTAAAATTATCGGAATATTTTCTAATTTTTTCAAGTTAATTAAAAAAAAACCACTCGTACAAAGTTTTCCTTTTTTTCTTATGTTACAATATGCTATACTATGCATTTTCTAAGTGAAGGAAGTTCTGTTGCAATATGTTAAAGGTCCATTACATACTGACTGAACAATTTGTTTAGTACATTAAAACATTATAAGTAAGGGTCATTCTTTGCCACTCATTTGGCGTTTGATTAATACAACAACAGTTAAAGTGTGAAAGCTGTTCGTATAATATGAATAGAATACATGTACTAGTATATACATAGGTTACAAGAGGCCAAAATATTGGGATCCAACTTTTTTCTGAAGAAGAGCATGATCACGATCAACTACGACCCGGGGCTTAGGTGGAGTACGCAAGTTAGCAACATATTATAATAAATAAAGAAATTCCTTTTAGGTTCCCATAGAACATCTAAATAAATCCTCATTAACGCATTGCCTGCGCCAAACTCTTATACACACATTGTAATATTCACCTCTAACCATAAATAAGAGTACAATGGGCTTTTCAAATTGCTATTTAAAATAATTAAGCAGGTCAAAACTAAATCACATCGATATTCCATTTTTTCCATGTCGTGTAAATCCATGTTTGTTAAATTAATTAATACATGTAAAGGTATTAGAATGGGGCTAAATCGAATATCAAACGTTACTAGAAGTAGAGCCATTCCTTTTAATTTAAAAATAATTAAACAACTTTGGATGTAAATTGTATTGCTTTTTTACGAGTTCAAAATTACCGCACAATAATACAACCGTAGTAACGGAAGTGATGTGAAGCGAGGGGAGATAATAACTGATACATAGATCTAGCAGCCATGATGTGTGTTTACATGAGGTAAGATCGACTAAGTGTTTGAAGTAAAAGATACATTCATTAAATATTGAATTTTCCATGGATTCCGAGGACTGGAAATGAGAGGATTGCATGGAAAAGATGATTAAGCTGGTCGTCAAGGGGGGGTGTCCCCATACCAGACCAGATTATACAAAATGTTTTGCGTTCCTTTTTGGAAATCAACCAATGAGAAGCGATTATATAAACAAAATTAAATTATATATTAATAAAATTATAATTTTTCTCTAGAAAAACAGGACACTTCCACATACAAATTGTGGCACCACGTTTTCAGAAGTTATAACAGTTTGAGTTATAGGTACAGTCACGCAATGAGTTACACTTTTTCACCGAAATACATATGAAAATGTCTTTTATATAAAAAAAAAAGTCGAACATGGCTAAGGTGACTCGGGTCAGGCGTGTGACAATTGAGACAGCGCTTTTTATTCTTTTTCTTCCTTTTAATACATTGATTTTCATACACGATCCTACTGGCCAAAAATAAGACCAAAAGAAGTCTTTCTAGGGTTAATAACCAGGATCAGTTTTCCTTACAAACTTCTGTGCTTCTCCTCCAATTCTTTATTTAGTTCCTTTGCAGCAACAAGTTCTCGTTTGAGCGTTTCCATCTCTTGTATATTTGAATGCGAATCAGGTAAAGGTCTCCACCTTGCAGTATCAATATTAGATCTAACAACAAAGCAACATACTAAACAATAAAATAATAAACAATGTTGGTTTAACATCAAGTTATGAACATAAAACATATGTATTTAATTTTTAATTATAATTACTAGTTAAGAATACAATTATTATAAAAGCAAAGAATTCAATTTCCTTCGCTTTATTCGAGTTTCTTTATAGGTTTTAGGAAAATAAAAAAACTTACTGACTTTAAAAGAAGTTTTAATTCATATTTAGAACTTATATCGGAAAAGGTTTATCAAAATAGGTTTCGCACCGTTAAAGTAACTAGTATAGTATTTGATTTTTGAATGATTTCGATGAAATTCTTTTTTTTTTTTTTTTTTCGCGTCTCACTTATGTCCTTATTTCAATATAAATACTGTAAACCAACTTTTATTCGCGACGACCTTTTTTTTCGCGATTTTCTGGGGATAAACTAGTTTGCGACGATCTAGCCTATATTGGATCTGTTGTTAATAGGCACATAGACTTTGAGGACCCTTTCGCGGCGAGGAATATTCGCAATGATGAGGCTCTCGCAAACCTCGCGAAAATTTCTCGCTTGCGAATAAAATTTGGTTTACAGTATCACACAAGAAAACTAAGAATTCACTATTTGATTTTAAATCCCGGTATAATTCCATCGGATAAGACATTTGTTTAAAATACAAGAAAAATAGTAAAATTGGAACAAAAGGACAAGGTCCAACCTGGCCCCTTATTGTCCCCCACTTTCGCGAAAGCGATGGGACATTAAATCTCATTCGTCTGTCCGTCTGTCTTGCTGTCCGTCCGTCACAAAAACTTTAACCTTACTCATAACTTTTGATTTAATGGAGCTATGACTTTCATATCTCACATGTGTATTCCTAGTGACAAAAGCTTTCTTTGGGTACGACCAAATTTGACCTTTTGACCTTGACCTTGGAGTTTTACCCACTTTTACATAAAAATTTTGAATTTTCACTTTGGCCATAATTTTTGAACGGTAGACACTAGGGCTTTCATATTTCACAAATATATTCTTTGTGGCCAGTCCTTTTATTGGATACCAAAAACTTTGACCTTTTGACCTTGGAGATTTCCGTACTTATGAAAAAACTTTAAACTTGGACATAACTTTTGAACGGTAAGGGATAGGGATTTCATATTTCAGATATGTAATTCTTGTGAGGAGACCTTTCATTAGATACCCTTCTGACCCTTTGACCTTGACCTTGAAGTTTGACTCATTTTTTAAATCAACGGCTTTCATACTTCACATATGTAATACTTGTGGCACGACCTTTCATTTGACATAAAGAACTTTGACACTTTGACCTTGGAGTTTGACCTACTTTTTAAAAACATTAACTTTGGCCATAACTTTTGAACGGTTCGGGCAATGGCTTTCATAGTTCATGTATGTAATACTTGTGGCAAGACCCTTCTTAAGAAACTACCAAGGTATATTTAATTTGCATTATAAGTTGAATCTCCACTATACGGGGTCATCAGGTTCACTTCCTTATAACTTTTGATTGAGATGAGATAGGGCTTTCATATCTGACATGTGCATTACCTATGACAAGATTTGACACAATATGTCATAAAAAATGACATCCCACCCACAAAGACACCGAAAGTGGGGGACCACAATTCTTTGAATTTGCTTGTTTGATGTAAAAATCACGATACAGTTAAAATTGTGATCATTTACAGCTGAGAACATAAAATGATGCTTGATTTAAAACAAGCATTAAATTTGATTCAAAGCTTACAGGAGTCCACAACAGGGTGCAGAATAAACACATTTTCCCGAATTTTATCGATTCTGGTGTAATTTCTTAAAATTTAATTTACTTTTCATTATAGAGCACAAGCTCGCTCATCTGAAATTTTTATGCATAAGATTTAACTGATTCCATTGTATGAAATATATAAATCTGGTAGATAAGTAAGCTTGTGCTCTATGTTTTCTGAAACAAAATGTACTGTAAAATCGAAGAAAATTTGCATAAAAATGAGAAAATACGAAAATTATTATTTTTTTTAACTTTCTGTCACTCTTTGTACTGAATGTAACTTTCTTAATAAAGAACTGCTTTGAAAAAAATTGGTTTTGTGTGATAGTTAATAAATCTTTACTTATCTTTTGAACAAAGTCAAATAAATGTCCATGAGACCTATTATTACCAATTATTATATTTAAATGTCTTCTAAAAATTTAGAAACTTTCTATTTTTAATTAAAACATGCCTACTTATTGTAATTAATAATCGTACTTTTTCACAATAAATTTGTAAATTTCTTTATCTAACCGACAGGTTCTATACAGAATAGCCTGCTGTTTCTTCTATAGTTCAGCGAATCTGTCAAAGTAATTTCACAGGATTCTACATAGAAAATTTAATTTAAAACATACCATTAACCAATCAATCCATACAAATAGTTAAAAAAAAACTTACTTCTTTTTCAGTTCCTGATTTTCCTTTTCCAGTGAGTTGTTTTTATTCAGAAGAGCCTGATGCTTATTCTGAAGATCGGTGTATCTGTAGCAATATTTGGACATATAAATATGAATGTTTTCTGATGAAGAGGTATTTAGGATGTAAAGCGTACAAGACGTAGATATCTGGTAAGACGAGTACCATCAAGCTCTAGTACAACAATCAATTTTACAAAATTTAAAATACATGAAATGCTTTTGTATTATTTTCATATTTTAAAGCAAATACTGAAAGAAACTCATGATAAATTTTTGAAGTTGTTTTAATTAATGCTATTTTAGGTATTCTTCAGTATTGTTGTCTTAAAATTAAATTCTTCCTCGATCAAGGAGTTACCAAAATCACATTTGACCTTGACTGATAAATCGTAAATTATTGATATGCATATGACGGACAACCGCAAACAATGAAAATATAATTCTCAATATCTCCCGGCGGTCCTATTACAACCTTGATTCTTTTCAGCATTGACTTTATCAGTGCATTTATCTTTCTCATAGGGGTATTTTTTCAACCCTTCAGACAGAAAACGATCTCCCCACTCAACCAACATTTCGTGAAAACAAGAGGCCCATTGGCCTTAAGGCCAACTGAGTATCCAATAAAAACTTTCCAACAATTGAATTTGATTTATGTTTTAAACCAAATCCATGAAATTCACAATTTTGAAAGAAGCACCATTGCCTATCATAATTCTACACTTAGAATGCTTACTTTGGTTACTTAATACCCAGAGGAAGATCAGAGTAACAAAGATAAAATGCATGTCCACTTTGTAACCAGTAGTGCACCCAATACCACAGGAACCACGGACCCTGGGACTACATATTTCAATTTTTTGGAAATTTTATCATAAATTTTATTTCATCATAAATTGTTGATTAATACCAAATTTCAAAGCATTAATTTATTTTCAGACTATGTAAACACCCCTCCAAATTCCTCTGACCCAGGGGCCCAGAAAATAACCATTTTGGCTTTTAGCTTTCAGCATTTCAGCTTTCTTCATCATAAATATGTACTTAGTTCATTGGCATAATACTTAAGAGCAAAGGAAAAGATTTTCAAATAATTCGTGCATTTTCATGATATAAACATTAGAGCCCGCCCTTAATCAAGAAGCCCTGACCTAGGGGCCCTGAAATTAACAAATCTTCTTCCTCATAACTACGAGGGGCGTTCAATAAATAATGACATTTGGGCTCGGAAAGCAACAAAAAAAACGGTTTTTTATGACTTAGTCTTAATGATTTAACTAAAATATTCTCTTTCAATTAAAACGCATATCTGTAACATTTTCATTCAATCTCTAATTGTTTTTCGATCACATTTTTGAGTATGATCCTGCTGTACTTGTTTTTTTTTTTTCTTTCTGATCGATGTTTTTCTAAGTTTAGGAAATGAAACAAGTCAAAGGTTGCAAGATCTGGCAAATTTTGTTGGTGTGACAAAACATTAACTTTCTCTTTATCCCCAAAACTCCTTTACTGTTCAGGGCCTGTGGGTTTGGACGCCGTCATGAAGACAGTTAATGTAGTGAATTCCTCATTCTGTTTCCTTCCTCTCATAAACCTTTCAATTTTTTTGCTTTCTAGACTCCTCCATAAATTGAACTTCCTCCCCGAATATGAATTTGAACAACAAGACCGCTAATATTTAAGAAAATAGCATATAAAACTGTTTTATGCTCTTGCAATTCTTTGCTCTTCTTAGGCCTTTGCAGTTTTGTCAAGTGCATCTTATTGGAAATTTGTTTTGAGGGCTTAAGGCAAAATGGATTTAAGTTTCATTATCTGTTAGAATTTCATACAAACGTGGATAAGTACAAATTTGATTTTTTTAAATAATTGTTCGGATATTCCTACACACGTCGTTTTCATTCATTTTTCAAAATATAGGGTGACCTTTGAGTATTAAACTTTTTTACTATAAAATGTTTCTTTAAAACAGTATCAAGTATTCCCAAAATGATTTTTATCAATTTTGCTATATGTCTTAAAGTCAATAAAACATAATCAGTGATAATTTGTTGACATTTCGCAAATTTACATCGGTTGTTGTTAGTCACTGTTGCCAAGGACGGTACCCATTTTTCTTTTTTAATACAGTGTCTCGAATAGCCCTTGTTTTCCAGCTTCCCACGATGAAATAATGAGATGAAAAGTGGTCACACAAACTGTTATCAATTCATTAAAGATTCCATGATGAGAAAAAGTCAAGCTTTATGTCATATGACTACTATGTTGTATGTCATCGAGCTAATGACATTATTTACTGAACGTCCCTTGTATGTACATAGTTCATTTGTTTAATACCCAGGCGCACAAAAGAAAATTTTCAAAGAAATAATTCATTTTCACTGTATAATCTTTATAGCCCTGCCCTAGCACTACAACCCCTGACCCTGGGGCCATGAAATTCACAATTTAGGAAGAGGCAGCTTTATTTAACATAACTATGCACTTGGTTAGTTTATTTAATGCCCATGAGGAAAGAAGAATTTCAAAGAATTTATGCATTTTCAATATATAAGCTATACATGTATAGCCCCGCCCTAGCACTAGAACCCTTGAACCTGGGGCCATGAGATTCAAAATTTTGGAAGAGGCAGCTATATTCAACTTATTTATGCACTTGGTTAGTTTATTTAATGCCCTGGAGCAGAAAAGAATAATTTCAAAGAAATAATGCATTTTCACTATATAATCTATGTAGCCCTGCCCTAGCACTAGAATCCCTGACCCTGGGGCCATGAATTTCACAATTTTGGTAGAGGACTCAATGGTAATTACAATCATACCAACAGTTTGACTGCTTCATCTCCAGTAGTAAAGAAGAAGATTTTTACTAATTTTAGTGGTTTTGGCCCCACCCCGAGGCCCCAAGGGTGCAGGGACCATGAAATTCAAAATTTTCGTTTCCTATCACTAATAGATGCTATATGCAAAAATCAGTTGAAATTGGTTCAACGGTTTTAGAGAAGAAGCTGAAAATGTTCAAATGTTAACAAACGACGGACGACGACGGAAGAAAACGAATAGCAATAGGACACCTAAGTTTACTCAGGTGACCTAAAAATACAGATAAAAGACAGGTAAACTATTAACAAATTTTTTAAAAATTTCGGCCACTCAGTCAAAAATATTTTGCATTTTATGGTACTTTGCGTTCCTTTTTTCCTTTCACTGTGTTTAAAATATCAATGCCAATTTTACCAAAAATATACAGACTGAGAGACAGTCGGACGGACGGACAGACGCGTAGGAAACCTACAATTCCCAATAGAAGACTAACAAATAGGGTTGAAAACAGAAAAGATAAAATGGTCCCTGATCAAACTGTAAAAAGAATTAAAAGTATAAAATGAGACAGACGGACAGATGGACTTGGTTGACGACAATGAATCCTAATTTTCTGTTTTGAAAGTGCTTGTATAACCATATTTCTTGATAGACTCCCCTGGTGTCCTTAGGCTATGAGCAACTCATTTCATCTGGGAGAGGATCTTTCAAATCACAAGAAATGCATTTTTAAATAAGTTGTAAAGGATTTTGTTTATTATTATATTGCATGAAAATTGTTCCTACACGCATATAGATGTAAAGAATACTGTGGTTTCATCAATATTCGTTGAGCACCAATTTTCGAGGATTTTGTTGTTGAGCAGATCCACGAATTCTAATGTTCACTGAATAAAGAAATGATATTCATTTGTATAGGTAATGATTTTTTCCACGAAATTTCGTGTTCTCGAAAACGTCTGTTTTACAAAATCCACGAAAATCGGTGCCAACGAAAATTGATAAAACTACAGTAGTCTTAGTGAGGCGTCCATGCAGTTCCTTTTTATTTCAGTACAGATACTGAGTGAAGTTCAACCTTCAGGAAAGGTAAACATAACAGGTATAAGCTCATGGAACATCAAACGTCTAAAAAAAACGTATATCTACAATCCCCCTCAAAAATTGAACTACGAATTTCAAAAAAAATATACAAACCCCTATTTATGCCAAAAAATGCATTTCCTTGTCAATTATATCTATATTTGCTTTTATAATCAAACAAAATTAAGAAAATATATCGTATATCAGAAGGCACAAAATCACTGTATATGCTTACTTTTTAATCCACAAAGAATGTTCAGTATCATCCACTTCATCATTTTGTGACATTCCAGAATATCGATTCCTTCTTAACTCTTCCTCAAAGATTCGATTTATATCATTGCGTATTTTTTCATTTTCTTCTTTAACCCTCTCAAGATTTCTTGAAATCGACTGATTGTGTTCTTCAGACCTCTGAAGGTTTTGTAAGCTAAATACAATGTATATAATAATGAAATGGTTTACAACAAACAGCAATATTAGATAATACATTTTTAAGCCCCAGTTTTTGTATTATACACCTTAACGGCGGGTAAAATCGGCCTAATGGTTGAAGGGCCTGTTGAAGCTGCAAGTTGATTGGGATGAACATTAGTATCTCCTATCTGTTTTAAGATAATGCTCAGAATAAACCGACTATTAGAGAAATGGAAAATTTTACTATTTAAATACTCCATAAAAATGTACCTCGACTATTCTAAACTTAATCTGGTGCAGTATTGTAGAATAATTTACTTTTATACATAACAACATCTCTATAACTTTAAAATTTTCATTTGGAGACTAGACAATTTACAGGAAACCAACGATCAACTTAAATATTTGACATTGTAAACCAATGTGTTGACTGTATAATCACTATTGCAAACAGTATCAATGTACATTGCGTTTCAGTGTAGTACTGAATAATTCCTATCGCTGTAATTGACTAATATTCAACATTGGAGAAAAAAATACAACGTTAGGTTTGCCTAAACGTGAACATAAGAATTTAATTTTTCTGTACTGGACGAAATATGGATCTTGAATATCCAAATTGAAACGAATAATTATATATGGAAAATTATTTTATTTAAACCCAAATTCCATTCAGGTATACTTAAGAACCAGGCAAAGCAAGTATGAGTTTGAGTGCGAATGTAGGGTACAGGGGGCCTGTCACATTCCCATCACTTTTTAGCTCAAGGGCCTTTATATATATATTTCTTTTTGATAAGGCCTTCCTTTGGATTTTGACATAAAACAATAACAATTTTGACCTTAACTTAGGAGTTTGGCCTATTTCGAAAAATTTTACCTTGATCATAACTTTCATACAGTTGCTGCTATATTATATTGTAGATTAACCATATATGTATGATAAGCATACCATACAGTTCTTTTCATTTCGTTTTACGCAGGCATCTTTTCAGTAAAATTGAGTTCTAAATTTCAGCATAACTTTGATTTTCTGATACTTATCTATCTTTTATTCAAAGCAAAGAAATGAATAAATAGAAGAATTGCAAGAAACCATATCTATAAAATATACATATCAAATGTAAACGTTTGGCATATTTTTCCACTGTAAAAGCCAAAGGTACAGTGTATTTCGCCAAAACTTATACTTTTAACGAAAGAGGAAATCAAATTGGCACATATAAAAAATCATATATCAGCAACTTATATTTTCAGCTTTGTCTTGATTGCCTTTTATCTCTGTATTGTCATATTATTAATAAAAGCATTCGCAGTAATCATGCGCTGTTCTATTTTAAATATTTTATGACACATGTAATTACTTCGTATAAACATGCAGTAGTAATGTCCTCTACATTTTTTTAATATTAATTTTAAAAATTCATATTAGATTAGAGGACTTTATCCTTTTAACTTACGTCATGCGATATTCCTTCTTCAACCTCTCTATTTCTAAATCTTTTTTTCCATGAGCAAACAAAATACTGTTTTCTTTCTCTTTCAGTGCGTTTTTCAGAGCGTCTCTCTCGCTTTTTAAGTCACAGAATCTGTTGAAATGATCATACGCAAATTTAGCCTTTAAATCCATATTTTAATGTTTCGGAAGTAAATTTTTATGCCATAGTATAATAATAACACAAGGTATCTAACTCCGAATTACACTCAGTACCCCCCTTCCTCAGAAATGCACTCATTTACAATTTTAGAGTAGATGCAATTGTAAACTATCTATTACCATTGTCTTTTACAACAATTTATCTACAAAAAATATACGGCATGCATGTCTTTGTTTTCGTTTATCTCATTAATCAGCGTACAAATTCTGCTTGCCGAGTGGAAAGTCGAACTAAACCATGAACCATAAAAATTATGAAAGCATGCAGGAAAACTGGTTTTATTTATTTACCTTCTCCACAGATTATCACTTTCTTCGTCTCTCGTCAGAAGCACAATTTTAAATCTACAAAGCAGGAAAAAATAACAGAAAAATATTTCACAGGTTTTGGCTACATCTGATATAAAAAATATTTAGGAGAATTACAAATTCTTGCCATAATTTCTTGTTTATAACAGTCATACATTCTTTGAAATACAATGTTCAGAGTATCATTATCAATACATTTACTATTATACATGTCAGTTAAACCAAGCCTTTAGAATTCCTTCTTCATGTTTACAATCAATTCATCTTTATTTTCAACCATTTCTTGATAACATGCTTGTAATGTACAATTATCAGTGGATTTTTTTTTTTTTATAATTTCACCCAGTATTTCAAAATTTTCTTTTACCTTTCAACTATAAGTGGAAATCTACCTGATTCAACATAAACTGCTTCATTACTGGTGCTTTGTCTGACCTTTAAAACTCTTTTACAATAATTTAGGTGAACATTTTCTATGTCTTAACCCTTGTGAAATCCCCGTACACTAAACAATGATTTGATAAATGTGAAAGATAAATTTGGGGAACGTGTTTTTTTAAGACAATTCCAGCCAAGTTTCAATCAGTATGAAAATAAATGTCCCAAAACTTTATTGAACATTTACAGGACACCACCATTATCAATCCAAAAGATATTCCTTCCTGCAAATGTTCATGACATGCATATCTCAAAAGATGAATTGATGACTTTTTTTATGTGTGTTAAGAGTTTGAAGAAGAAAATACTGTAACAGAAAAAAGAGACGTACAGACTTGGATGACCACAATATATAGTACTGGACACCTTACCCGAATGAGTGGGTTTTAGTCTTACCTGTTAATTCTCTCCTCTTCTTCAAGAAGTTTATCATCCAATCTTCTTATTCGGTACTGCATTTTTTTATTTACATCTTCTAAACTACAAATTAATTTATTTGGTTATATAAGTATCTAAAACTTTACTTTTTGGCCTATTTGATTGAATATTGTAGATCAAAACGATCTTTTGTTTAAGCAATGAATGGAAAAGCGAACAATTACAAACAAGACAGTTTATTGTACCTTTTCTTTTGAGATTCATAATCCATTATTTTTCTTTTTAGATCCCACACTTGGCTTTCTTTTTCTCGTATTTGTTTATCCAGTCTACAAATTCAAATTTATTGAAAGTATCACGAGCTAGCTCAATAAATCATAACAAGTAACTAAAAATTAAAATATATTGACTTGAAAATCGTCATTTTTATTAAGTTTTTCAGAGTTTATCTGTATAAATGTCTAATATGGAATTTATGATATATATACTAAGTATCTATAACATACAATGCATTGTCTGCCAGTGATCTCCTGTACCGTTCGCGAACACGATATACCTCTTCGCTTGGAGTGTCCCTCGTGTTCCTTTGTACTCTGATACATATACATAAATAAAAAATTTTGTGTAGCAAAAAGAAGCACACCAACTCTCTTTCAAATATGTTAAGACGATCGCATAATTTAAGCAAAATTGTCACATCGTATATTTTGAATGAATGAAATTAATGGAATTTTTTCATTATCAATCACGTTTTTGTGTATCAATCGATTGTGATCATTATTGACCAATGCAATGGTTGAAAAGAGTCGGTGACCTACTTTAAAATAGCATAAACCTCCTTTTCAAAAACGCACAAAACGGCTTCTCAGTATCCAAAATTTGCTATATATTTGCATCATGAAGTACATGTATTTTGGAAAGTTTGTCAAAGGTCGTTCAATGATGCACAAAGGTCGGTAACCAAGGTATTTTACAAAGTTAAAGTGCTAACATTTTAATATAAAACTATCAGGTCAAATTCATACGTCTTACGGTTCTCAAGAAATGAACTCACGGACTGGCAGAAAGACACGTTGGATTTATCCTTAAGTGCCACACTGATCTGATGGCATCACAAAAATGTGATCATAGAAATTCATGTTATTGCCACCTAGTTGACGAATTTGCATAGATTCATCTTTAAATCATTGAAACAATTTAAATATTACTTGGGAGGATTTTCGAGGCCAAATACTAACTAGTACCTGGAATTAATTTTCATCTTGGCATAGTCACTTTTAATATCATGTAAAATTTTAAAAAAATCTAATGCTACACTAAATGATAAAACACAAAAAAAATGACAAACGAAAGTGTTCGAATTATTTCATAAATAAACAAAATACGAATCATGAGGGGCAAAATTCACGAACCTTCAGAAATAACAGTTAGGATCAGAAGAGGAGTAGGAATCCCATGCTGACCAGGCTCTTTGTATAGATCACTTATTGACGTAGGCGGAGTTATTTTTTATTAAATTTGCAATTCAAAAAATGATTGAGAACATTTGTATGCAAGTTAGAAAATTTACCTTTCTAGTTCCTCTTGCAATGCTGTTAAACTATCCTTCAGTCTTTTGAATATCAACATGCAAAAAAAAAAATTTAATATATGTCATAATGCATGACGGTAGCTAATGTTTCCTTCAGGTGTTTGAAAAAATTATACAAAGTACTCAGAAGTACAGAGAGCCGGGCTCATTTACAGAGTAGAATGAATTTCTTACATGAATCACGTTTATATTCTGATGAAAAAATTACTAGTATTTTTAAACTATCAATATGAATTATAAGACACTGCCAGTGAGTTTTTCAATCCTAATACCACGGTCCGATTTTGTCAGAATCAGAATTAATCTGGTACCGCAGCTGAATGTAAACAAACAGGCCAGTCTGGTTCCCTCTCCTGCTTTACTTCGTATGTGTAGAGAACTACGATAACACTGATTATCAAAAATCCTTACGCTAATGAACTATGTTCTTTGATTTAGGACTGAAGTTTTCAAAGTCAATACTACTAATGTTTATTTATATAGATAAAACTTCGTTTTATTTGTGTTGCTTTATTTAGCGTTTGCATTATCTCAAAAGAACTATATTTTTGCACGTAACTTTAAAATGGCGACTATGGGGTTGACTCCCTGCCTTGAACAGGATGACGTAAGCCGTCAATTGCTCTTTGTGCAATAAGCCCGGCTAAAAAGTAATTAAAATAACTCATATGAAACGTACGTTGCAATATTACATATTGTATTGCAAACAAGAGGCTCGCGGGCAATATCGCTCACCTGAGCACTTTGGCTAAAATAAAGGATGAAATGTTTTCAGAATTGAAAAGTTTATATTTACATGTATAATGATTCCATCCACTCCAAAGCCTTCAACATAATGGACAAAATTTGAACAAATTTAAATCCGCACTGCCTAAAAATGCTTCTACATGAATAATAATATTTTCACGTTTCATCTTTTCTGATTGATTGGAGCTTGAAAAGAATATTTTTTAAAAGATGCAATTAATTTTTCACAAATTCGAAATATTCAAATTGTACCGAGTAATTGTTTCAAAATTACCAGAGAAATTCTGTCTCAATAATATCCTGTTTTGTAGAGCAGACGTTCACCCAACTCCGGAAAACTGGCTTTAGAGTGTGATTCTCATTAAACAACGGCTTTAGAGTACCCCCCCCCCCTCTTTGAAATGTGACTCTAAAGTAGGATTTTACCTATAGAAGAAAATCTTGCATCAGATTTAATTTTCTTGTGGAAATCCTACTTTGTGTAATAGTTATAGTGCAATTCCACCCAAAGCCAGTCCCCCTAATAAATTTACGTTGAAATTATGCATCCTGTAATTCATAGTATTATATTTTGATGCGAAATGCTCATCAATCGAACAAATTCACCCAAAATTAAGATTAAAAATTCCGTACATTTGTATCAGGTTTGTTTGAATTGAGTATGGTGGTTCTTGAGAAGAAGTCAAAACAAACGGACGGTCAACAAAACATGATCAGAAAAGCTCACTTCAACCTTCGGCTCAGGTGAGCAAAAAAATTATTTGTAATGTTTAGTTTTTCTTTGTATTCCCTATTCTTTTATAATATACGAGGGTTGTTCAAAAAGTTCGTGGACTTCTGTCATATCTTTTTAATTGACGTCATATGGTATCCAAATTTGGTAGAAATATTTTAGAAATAAATCCAAATGATTTTATTAATAATTTTTTTTTCAAATATCCCGATTTATTTAAAACTTATGTAGATTTTAAAATTGTAAAAATCGGATCGCGGAGCAGGTCAAAATTTAATAAATTACAAACAATACATTAAATAATATCTGTAGTCATATTCTCTGTAAAATGGAGCAAAAAAGAAAAACAACCTAGAAATCCATTTTAAGAATTGTTACTTCGATTCGTATTCCAAATAAAGGCTTAATATTTGGCTTTGTTGGAAAGATATCATCTTGAGAAGATGGGTAGTCCTCATTGAAAACGACAAAAACGATGACGTTTTAGAAAGTCACGGAGCAGCAGATAACGATGCAATTTTGTGTTTTACTCAGGAAAAATCCTGAATAAACTCTAAAAATGTTGGAGGAATCAAGAAAATATGTCACAAGCGAGTTGTGCATGTGTGTACAAATAGTACAGGCAGTATCTGAGTGACAGAGATTGTATCAGATGAGGGCAATCTGTGAAGAAACGGTTTAAATGTAAAAATCTACACAAAAACTTTTAAAAGTTGAAACGTCAAGGAAAGACATAGGCGCTTCAGAGTTGCTTATCCTGTGAAAGCAAAGAAAAGTAATAAAAGAAATTAAAACCTTGACAAAGGAAATTATACAACGAGAGCAATTCTTAAAAAATGAATGTCTAGTTTTAGAAAAAGGATTTAATGAGTGGGCATTGGATTATACTGTGTGAAATGTATAGGGATAGTATTTTTTAGAAATTTTTGACGCTATGTTTTGACGTTACGTTGCCGTTAAGTGTGCTCCGCATGTACAAAACATGTTGATTTTAAAATGAATTAAATCGATTTCTGTTAAATCGAATGGAATGAATCAATAAAACAAACATTTTTACATATTATATTGTGCTTATTTTAAATTTCTGGTGAGAAATAGAACGAAGATTGACATCGTCCACGAACTTTTCGAACAACCCTTGTATATATTTAAAAAAAAACTATATACATGTAATGCAAATGGAAAATATAGAATATAAATTCATTTTTAAAGCATTAAGCTGTATATATATATATATATATATATATATATATATATATATTTCATGTAAGAATTTTACATTACATATGCAATATTTGATATGTAATGGTATGAGAGTAGAAATCTTTCTCGCAAACAAGGTTCGTTTTTTTTTTATATACACATGTATATCACATGCATATAAGTATGTAAATCTTGAATTTTAAGTCTCCTACCCGTGGTTTTCTCTGTATAATTTGTCGATGATATTTGTTGAATAATTCCTTACTTCAATCTCGGTTTCTCTCACTATTTCTTTAACACTTAAATAAAAACAATAATTCTTGTAAAATTATTAGTAAGCATACATAGAAAAAAAATAATTGCAGTCATGTACGATAGCATTTCCCGCTGATATTTTTTTAATCTAAAAACTTGTATTAAAAATCTTTTTTCATTGTATCATATGTATTAAATAAAAAATTCTTTTCTTTCTTTTTTTTTTTTTATTTAAAATTCAGATTAAAAATGTTAATAATACATGATTATTAGATAACAAAACGTACTTGTTTTGGAGTTGCTTATACTCGGATTTTAGTGCATCTATTTCAAAATACAAGTTCCAGCAATTATTGCAGTAGCTAATTCGTCTTGATCTGTTAGGTTCTTTTCTTCTCCGAATTCTTGGCGAAGGTCTAAAATCGTTGCTAAACGATAATAAAAAGATAAAAATATCAAATCCAAGAAAATCATCTAAAATTCGATTCTATCTTCGATGGTGCTTGATTCCAGTTTAAAGAGTGAAAAAATCAATTATATCTAATGCAAATGTATTGTATCACACACCCCAATTCACCATCCTTTGAATTATTTATTGGACACTTCCCAAAAACTTCCCAAAAATTTATTCCTATTTTTCCAACTACCGATTTTATTTAAGTAACAAAGATTGTCCCTCTAATATATTTTTCTACATACCGCATTTTTCTACATATACCGTATACAGTAGAAGGACATTTTCTTAGACATACACAACAGAAAAATAATATCAGAAAAATGGTATGATAAACTAGGAAATTATGTTTTTTGTTTTTGTTTTTTTGCTCCTGTAGTCGAAGATTCGGGGGAATATAGTTTTTGTCGTCTCCGTCCGTCCGTTTGTCTGTCCGCATAAACCTTAACCTTGTCCATAACTTCTGATATAGTGGAGATATGAATTTAATATTTCACATGTGTATTGTAATGTATTGAGGGGTCATATCTGATTGATTCCAGGATCTCTGTTACTATTAATACTATTAATAAATAATTTTCCTCTTTAAATATGATTGGTAAAGATGATTGGCCTGCAAATATTTACAAATATGGCCCTTCCTTTACTTAGGGGAAAATTACACTTGGGGGTCGGCTTTATATTTACGAAGAAATGAGGTTCACAAATGTACCGGACAGACACCGGTTATGCCTTATTCAGGTTCGTAGTGTCTGTCACGATGTTAAGTCCTAATCTACTACTAGTGGTCAGCCTCTGACAGCAGAGGATATCCTGGGTTGTCCTTATTCAGGACGCACAGTCATCCACCGCTATCAGAGACTTACACTGTCTAAAATGATCTCCAGGCAAGCCTCTGAGGTTTAAGTTCCCTCTAAATGGTTAGTCACACAATAATACAATACACCTTATTTATTGTGGCAAGCTTTTGTAATCAGGCAATTTACCTAATGTTGTTTAATACTTGTGATAAGCCTAGTATTAGGCCACCCACCCAACTAACCTTATCGCCGAAATATGGTCTTCTTCGCTGTGACGACTAGACTGAAAGAACCCCGCAGCGTAGCTGCGCTCACTTAAAATGCTTTGTTTTAGGTCATGTGATCTGCTTCAGCCAATGGCAGATCTTTAAATGCCGACTAGCATATTTGGAATATACAACATCTAAAGCGTTACATATTCCTTGCGACAAGACCTTTCTTTGGGTACCACTTTTGACCTTTTGACCTTGACCTTGGAGTTTGACCAACTTTTACGCAAAAATTCCAAACTTTTACTTTGACTATAACTTTTGAATGGTAGATGCTATTGGACTTTCATACTTTACATATGTATTTTTTGTAGCAAGACCTTTCATTGGATACCAACAACTTTGCCCTTGGAGATTTTCGTACTTATGAAAAAAAAACTTGAACCTTTGCCATAACGTTTAAACGGTGAGAAATAGGGCTTTCATATGTTAACTTTGTGAGAAGACCTTTCATTGGATACCAAGAACTTTGACCCTTTGACCTTGGAGTTTGACCTATTTTTTAAAAACAACCCTTGACATTAACCTTGGAGTTTGACTTTCTTTTTAACGGTTAAGACTATGGCTTTCATATTTC